GACTCGACCGACGACGACTCGGGTCGTTTCAAGGAAGGTGAGCGCATCGAGGCGCAGTACCAAGGCAAGACCAAGTATTATCCCGGTGTCATTGCGCGCGTTCGCGCCAACGGCACCTACGACGTCGACTACGACGACGGTGAAAAGGAAAAAGAAGTCGCACCAAAGTTCATTCGGTCGCGGGCGTCAAGCCCCGGGAAAAAGAAGGCGTCGAGCTCGGACGACGAGCGCAAGCCGGCCAAGAAGTTGAAGGAAGGCGACAAGGTCGAAGCGCAGTACAAGGGCAAGTCCAAGTTCTACCCTGGCGTCATTACCCGCGCTCGCCTCAACGGCACGTTCGATATCGACTACGACGACGGCGAGAAGGAAACCGGGGTTGCTGCCGACTTGATCAAGCTCAAGGAAGGCGGTGCTTCGCCGTCCACGTACCGCGTTGGCGCCAAAGTCGAAGCGCAGTACAAGGGCAAGAAGGAGTTCTTCAAGGGTACTATCACAAAAGACCATGGGGATGGACGCTATGACATTGAGTACGACGACGGCGACAAAGAACTCAAAGTATCCAGCGGACTCATGCGGCCACTCAAGACGACGCCGGCAGCGCCAAGCGCATCGCGCGGTCTCTCCAACTTTCAGCGCCTCGCTTCGACGTCGACCAAGAAGAAGAGCGGGAATAGCTCCGACTAGACGACATTGCAATGTATCCTGTGTCCATGTGCTACATAATACACTACGAAATCAAACGTACGAATGCACTTTCTTTTAGGCCAAGTGGCGGTACGAGGTCCACGTACTGCGCAGTGCAGGGTACGGCTCGTCCTTCTTGGCCGACGCCGACGGTGGTGCTGGCTGCTTGAGCGGCACGAACTGGTCGTCGCAGAGGAATTTTGCATAGTCGTTGCCCTTGTACTTGGAGCCTTTCCACCACGAATACATATCGGGCTTCTCTTCCTTCTTTGGCTCGGCGGGCTACCATTGATTGGTACGGCTTACTCGGTACACGGATAGATTCGACGCACCTTGGTTGGCGGCTTGCCCCACCACTGCGGCGGTTCGCTCCACCTACACGGCGTTCGTTGTCATGACCAAAAGGGATATATGTTGGCGTGTGTACCATGGCTTTGCAGCACCCGCCGCAGGCTTGGCGGCCCTGGTGTCACCACCTCCCTTGTCGTGAGCGCTCGATGAAACACCGTTTTTTGTCGTGTCGACGGCGGTTTGCGCTGCCTTGAGCTGAATCTTGCTATTCAATGCCTACGGAAAGAGTACAAAAGACATTTGCCGCACCTCTCTTCGATAGCCAGTTTGAGTGAAGTTAGCTTCCAAAAGTCGCCTTCAATGTACAGCGCTTTGAGGACTTTCGGGTCGTTGGGCAAGAGACCGTCGCGTAGAAAGTTGAGGACGTGCCGGAAGAGCATTCTACCTCGAGACAGTAAGCTCGTGCACAGATAGAGCAGGTACCCATCGCGGTCGATCGCAATGCCTCCAACGTCGCTCGCTTGTAGCGGCGAGTCGGCGGCGACCATGGCCGCGAGGAGCGACTTGGGGTCTCGCTTTGCCAGCGCGTGGCTGAGCTCGAAGTCATGGCCACCCACTTGGAGGCGCAGGCGGGCGCCGCCGACGACAAAGGCGTCGTGGCAGAACCAGTCCGATGTCGACGCGGCGTGGAACCGATCGATCTCCGACTCGAGCAGGGCGCGCTGGAGCATGAGCCGTCGCTTCTCGTGGCGCAGAAAGGCTTTCTGGCCCGCAACCTTTTGCAGCTGTCCGCGTAGCTTTTCTTGGCGCGCCTCGACAACCGTCCGGTAGAGGTCGCCCTCGGACTCTTCGTGGCACACGCGCGGGTGCGCCCGCATGTCATCATAGTACATGGTGCGCAGCGACTGGCGGTGTCGGTTCCAAAGATCGCGAGGCTAAAAAACCGACCCGTTTTGCCACTTGATACTTTGATAGCATTGGGAAATGGAATCGTCGTGAACCAACTGGGTGCAGCTACTGGCCAGCGCGTGCGGTGAGCCCAATCCAATGGCTCGTGCTGGATGGCCAAGCACGGCGCTTGTCCATTGGCGAAACATGTGGGGGCAGTGAAAACCATTTGAACCCTACCATGTGATTGGTCCATTCGAAGATCGGGAGTAGCCAATCCAAACGTCCTCTTGGCGGCAAAGCCGATCTAGGATCCCGTGGTCCATGGCATCAGCCAAAGTGGCGAATGGCGTTGGAATCCCAGATTATCTGCCACCTCGCCCAAAAGTGCAGTTCTAGTCGAGCATGCTCGACTGATTAGGAGTCAAGTCTACAAAAGTCTCAAAGTCCAGACGAGTTGTGAGTAAAAAGACAAAATTGGATTCGGATTGATACATTCTAGTGGCCAATTTTACGGCGAGCCCTGACCGCATGCACCGGCGTCGCTGCAGTCGCGCGGGTACGTCTTGAGCGCGTGCTCGACCTGGATCGTCGTGTGGTCAATGCCCTTGGAGATCAGATACTCCTGCGCCTGGTGCAGCGCCTCATCGGGGTTGCCTTCGGTCACCAAGTGCACGCTCAGCGACGGCAGACCCGCGCTGAGCGACCAAATGTGCAGATCGTGGGCGTTCGAAACCGCGGGCAGCGCCAAAAGACCGTCGAGGATCATATCCGGCTCGTACCCGTCCGGCGTGCCCTCCATGAGCACGTGGATCGACGACTTGATGATGCCGACGGTCGTGCCGAGGACGAGGATCGAGAAGAGGAACGTCGCGATCGGGTCAGCGACCTGCCACTTGGGCTCGTACCAGATGAGACCGCCGGCGACGCAGACGCCGAGGCTTTGGATAAAGTCACCAAGGGCGTGGATGTACGCGGCTTCGATGTTGAGGTTCTCGAGCTTCTTCTTCTTGGGCGCTTCGTCGTGGCCGTGGCTGTGCGAGTGGCCGTGCGAGTGGCCGTGGCCGGCTTCGACATCGTCGTGGTCATCATGATCGTCGTGCGAGTGCGAGTGACCATGCGAGTCGGACTTGGCGCCATGCCCATGGCCGTGGTCATCGCCGCCATGCGAGTGACCATGGCCGCCGTGACCGCCATGGGAATGCGAGTGGCCAAGAATCTGCATGAGCGCAAGGTTGACGACGAGGCCGATGCAGGCAATGATAAACATGAGCTTGCCGTCAACATGCTCCTTCGGGTTGTCGCTGATGGCATCCTGGAAGCGCTCGACGGCGGCGTACACAAGGAAGCCCGTGAGCACCCAAATGACGAGCACCGAGATGACGGCGCCAAGAATCTCAGCGCGGTGGAAGCCAAAGCTCATCTTGGAGCTCGCGGGGAACGTCTGGATCCAGATCGCGAAGAGCGAGATGAGGAACCCGGCGACGTCCGAGAGCAAGTGGGCGGCGTCCGTCATGATGGCGAGCGAGCCGGCCATGAAGCCACCGACGACTTCGGCAAACATGAAGACGAGAGCGAAGAGGCAGGCCCACTGCAGCTTGGTCTTGGCACGAAGCGCGCCTTCGTTGAGAGGCGCCGACTTGGCCGGTACGAGCGGCGAGGCTTCGTTCATGGCTGCCATGACGATGGGATTTTGGATTGTGACTCTTGGGATCCGACGGCGAAGTCGGCCCGCCCTTTCTCGAAGGCTCGGCCAATGACTTCGCGATTTGTGGTGGGCGGCGCCGCTTGCACTTCCACCTCTTTTGGGTGCCATGCAGCGCGCTGATTGGTGGGTTCTATTTTTTATTCGCATAAAGAGTACAATACAGCGCGTGGATTGGCCGAAGGCACGCGGATGCAGGCTTTCATGTTTGTAGCAGCATACGGTATACGCGAATTACGGTGTCGACGGCCAACTTGCCGACAGGCGCGGGCGTCGCTACAGCCGACGCAAGCGACGCGGTGCTAGTTCGATCAAGAGGCGGGGAGGATAGATGTTGTGGACATGGCATGGACGCGCCGTTGACGGCCTTGCCACAGCCGGGAGTCACCGTCGACTCCGTGACATGACCCACCTGCTCTCCACCTCACTTCGGGATCCAGCTGAAAGAAGATGAGAGGTCAGACGAGTGTCAGCCAGTCAATTGCGAACCCAGATCACACGATGCACTTCCGAATGGACGTCCTTCAGCTTCGTTGGTGGCGCTTCCTTTCAAAATGGAGGTCGTTTGTTCTTGGAGTCGCTCAATGCTGGGCCTCGCAGAGATGCAGAGAGCTGGCAAGGAAGTTGAAGGCAAGGACTTGAAGCACGCAGGGCAGAGATAGAGTATCATGTCGCCGTGACTGATATCGGTCAACGAGGAGCACCGGAAATGCGGTACTAGTACTACAAGTACGCAGCAGGCGTCGATGTGAATCTGCAAAGCTCGCCTATTGCCAGCGGGACCTGGCAGCAGGCTTCATTCGATGAATAAGTAGAACCTTCGCCAGTGAAGTGTGGAGGAGGAGTGCTCTCGACGAAGGAGGACAACTTACGTCTCAATGACCGCCTAGTGGACTCTGTTTTGTTAGCTCGAGGATTGAGCGGCTTTTCACACGGATAAAACTCACGTGAACAATCGATTGTATGTAGGAAACTCGCGTGTGTTTTTGAACGATTAATTCCCACAATGTGAAAAATGACGCGATAAACACCCTTTTAGACACATGACGTGGCGCACCCAGACGACAGTTTTTGACAACACGCCTTTGGTCGATCCAACCACGACCTTTCTACGGCAAAGAATAAAACAGCGAGGCGAAAGTTTATACCTGCTGCGTGCAACGACGCACATTGCCACTTCTGGAGGCACTCGACTGTGTCAGTCTTGTCTTGTGCAGCAGAAACGTCTTTCTCTCAGCACCCCGAGGAGGCCACCCTGACACATGACTCGTACTCGTACCTCTGCCAGTATTTCGACGCCGCGATGTACAGATACCTCGTAGATCGCTGTGTCAGCGCATTTTGGAGGTGGGAGCGATGGACCGACAATGCCCAGAGTAACCACAATGTGTACTACACATTGTAAATATTCACACTATTCTAGGCACTAAAATAGTGTACTTGTTGCCGCTGGCAACGAAAGCAGAATCTGAAATACAGTGTCCAGTGGACAGTGTATATCCCAGCGTTTTATCCACTGGTTTTGACAGGAAACCACGATGCTCTTCGGCCAAGGGCATCAAGAGGGACGTCTTGTGCGTCTACCATCGCCAGCGCCCGCCTTGTCTACCAACGACAAGACACGCAGTACGCCCAGAGACCATGCATGCCATCGCCTGCTTGCGCTTGACGCGATCTTCCTCGAGCCCGTTGGTCACGCCAGCGTATCCGGTCATAGAACATCCTGTAGACAGGCGATCGCGTATTTTTATTCCGATGCATACAACGCTCTAGCTCATGCGCAATATTAATATATTCGAAGCGAAACCATCGCATCGATCGTTCCTCTGTGTGGTGCACACCTGCTTTGCCCCGTCGGATAACGCTGCCATGGCCTCCGAGTCGACGCCGCTCCTCGCGCGCAAGGCTGCGCCCAAGCTCGACGAGGCCGCACAGCGCGCCAAGCGCAAGCTGCAGTGGGCCTGCCTCTTCGCGCTCGCCTTCATGGTCGCCGAAGTCATTGGTGGCTTCATGGCCGGCTCGCTCGCCATCATGACGGACGCCGCCCATTTGCTCTCGGACGTCGCCGGGTTCCTCATCTCGCTCTTCGCGATCTGGATCCAGACGTTCCCCGCGAGCTCCAAGATGAGCTTTGGCTTCCATCGCGCTGAGATTCTTGGCGCCGTCATCTCGGTGCTCGTCATTTGGGTGCTCACGGGCTTCCTCGTGTACGCCGCCGTCGAGCGCTTCCAGGATGCCATCAGCGACAACCCGAAGGAGCATGTTGACGGCAAGCTCATGTTTATCATTGCCTGCATCGGCCTTGTCGTCAACCTTGCGCTCATGCAGATTCTTGGCCACTCGCATTCGCATGGCGGTCACGGCGGCCATGGTCACGCACACGGCGGCGATGACCACGGCCATGGCCATGGCGCTAAATCCGACTCGCATGGCCACTCGCACTCGCACGACGATCATGATCACGACGGACCACAAGGACCACGACGACGTCGAAGCCGGCCACGGCCACTCGCACGGCCACTCGCACAGCCACGGCCACGGCCACGACGAAGCGCCCAAGAAGAAGAAGCTCGAGAACCTCAACATCGAAGCCGCGTACATCCACGCCCTTGGTGACTTTATCCAAAGCCTTGGCGTCTGCCTCGCCGGCGGTCTCATCTGGTACGAGCCCAAGTGGCAGGTCGCTGACCCGATCGCGACGTTCCTCTTCTCGATCCTCGTCCTCGGCACGACCGTCGGCATCATCAAGTCGTCGATCCACGTGCTCATGGAGGGCACGCCGGACGGGTACGAACCGGATATGATCCTCGACGGTCTTCTGGCGCTGCCCGCGGTCTCGAACGCCCACGATCTGCACATTTGGTCGCTGAGCGCGGGTCTGCCGTCGCTGAGCGTGCACTTGGTGACCGAAGGCAACCCCGATGAGGCGCTGCACCAGGCGCAGGAGTATCTGATCTCCAAGGGCATCGACCACACGACGATCCAGGTCGAGCACGCGCTCAAGACGTACCCGCGCGACTGCAGCGACGCCGGCGCGTGCGGTCAAGTCTCGCCCAAGTCGGGTGTTGTCTAGATAGCGTCGACGACTCGCGGACGAGCCAGCTTCCATCGCCTAGATCTCAGAGCCAGCTTCCGTCGCCAAGATCTCAGTAATAGACACCCCATTTTGCTGGAAAGTGTCGAGCAAGCGCTCAGAATCCCCTCGGAATTTCAAGCCATCGGTAGAGCACGACGCGTCGCATGCAGTGCAGACCCACTGCGCCTCGTCATGGCTTGGGTCGAGCGACGAAGGGCCACCGATCTCAACTCTATAAATTGGTCGGTTGAGAGGGTGGGCTGTTGAGATTTGATCAACTTCAACTTGACACAAAGAGACGCCATGCGTTAAAACACCCGGATGTGGGAAATGGTTTTATGGTTGCGTGACCGTACAAATACTTGCCGTTTGAAAAAAGCTATTACTATACAATAGACAATACAAAAGCCAAGTGTGGATTAAAATAAAAGAGATAAGTGGTGTCACTCTACCGTGTGGCGGTCAACGCTGCGAGCCCTCATTTCGCGTTCGCCGAGTTGTTGGACGAGATGGCACGGCCGGCGTCGGTCCCGCTGGCGGTCTGCGTCATGGAGGGCGACGCGATCCTACAGCGCTCGCTGACGCACGCGCTGCCGTCGACGACCTTTGTCGACATCCTCAAGGCCTTTGCCGCCGGCCAGTATGCGCATCGCGTCGGCGGCGCGGTCGTCCGTGTCGGCGACGCCGCCTCCAAGATCCTCAACCACGCCGCCGACATGGACGAGGTCGACATGTACATGACGTACGACGACGCGCTGCATGTGCTCGGCGAGATCAAGAAGGTCGTGTTCCTCCTCGCACCGCCCAGCGCGGTGCCATTCCTCGCACCGCCGCCGCCGCTCTACGCCACGTCCGCGCCCGCGCCGTATACGCTCACGACCAAGAAGCGCCGGCTCCAGAACCGGACCGCGACGTCGCTCGAGAGCCAGCACAACATGGTGACCATCGCCAACATCTTGCACCAGGCGCAGCCAGCGCACGTCAAGTACCTCGTCCTGCCGTCGCGCTACAAGGTACCCGCCGCCGACCCGTTCCCGCTGCAGTTGCGCGGGTCGACCATCGATGTCATGGTGTTTCGGCAGGCGTACAAGGTGCGCATCCTCGAGCCCGATATCGTCGCCGCCCTGGATGCACTCCACTTTGTATGGGACGTGCAAGAACACAAGCGCGACATGAACCTGCTCGCGCTGCGCACGTACAAGCAGATCTGCGGCGACCTCCTCGTGCCCGAGCGCTTCCACGTCCCCGAAGACGCGGCGTGGCCGTCCGAGGTCTGGAACCTTCACCTTGGCCGCGTCGTGCGCAAGATCCGCAGCTACGGCCCCGACGGTCCGGTCCAGCGCAAAGAAGAGCTGCTGGCGATGGGCTTTGTGTGGGAGCACGCAGACTTTCAGTGGAACATTCACCTCACGGCGCTGCAGATCTACCGCCGCCTCCACGGCCACATCAAGGTGCCCCAGTTCTTCAAGGTGCCACACGAAGAGGACGCAGACGTGGCCAACTGGCCGCGCGACATGTGGGGTCTCCATCTCGGCCGCATCGTCAACCGGCTGCGGCTAACCATGGACACGATGCCAGCGTCGCACAAGCGCGCGCTCGACGACCTCGGTATGGTCTGGGTCGCGAGCAAGAAGTTCAGCTGGGAGCACCGCCTTCTGGGCTTGACGACGTTCAAGCGCCTGTACGGGCACCTCAAAGTCCCCAAGTCGTTTCAAGTGCCAGAGCGCGACCCGCAGTGGCCGGCGCACATTTGGAAGATGCAACTCGGGTGGGTCGTCAAGGACCTCCGGAACAAGGAAGACACGATGCCCCACGAGCGCAAACTCCAGCTGCTGCAGCTCGACTTTGTGTGGAAGAAGGCGCCGGAGCTCGACCTGTTGCCGCGCAACACGCCCGACTTGCTCGCCAACCTTCCAGACACGTCTTCGCACGTCGTTGAAATCATCTAAGATACGTACGACTCACCTGTCTTGTATACTGTATGTTGTCGGTTCCAGCTACCGCCAGCTATCTCTCGCTACCTACAACTAATACCTCCAGCTACTTATGGTCGATAAATGGTGTCTATGACCCAGAGGAAACTTTGCCCACGCGCCACCGCACCTGCGCGCCTGCTGGGGTATACCAACGGGCAAAATACCAGCCATCGACGCAGTCCACGGACATCGGCAAACGCAACAACGTCCTTGGTCAGTCCTGCACACTGCTCTGGCTCGAGCTGGAACCCTACCCCCATGCTACGAGGTTAAAGCTGCGATGCATGTGTCGGCGGGGCAGTGCATGTTTGTACTGCGGCGTCTCGCCTGGGGTTTACTGCAAATGACAGAGAGGGGTATCGCCGCGTCGTCCTGCGTCCTCTCTGTGCCTCGGGGCACGAGGGTCCGCCTTGCATTCTGCACCTGCGATAGCGCGATGGCTTGTTTGCACGGCTTTCCGAACGTCGCATTTCGGGCATTTTCCGAAAAGGGTGTTGGAACTTTAATGAAGCCAACAGCGGCGACCGAGAGAGCATCCTAGCATAGTGCAATCGGCGATGGAACCAAAGACGCGCCACGAGACTCCGCCAACGTGACCATCCATCACTGCATCGCACGGTCATGGCAAGGAGTCGACGTCCTTGCATGAGCACAACCGAAGCCAAGTCTTCAACCACATCACAGCTTCTCACCCAGCAGTGCAAATGACAACATGTACATTGTCAACCATGGTTTTGAAAATGAAATCATGCTAGCGACAACGCATCAAGCGTGCGGCGCTTGGCGGGCTTGGATCGTCACATGCACCGCCAGCGGGGCCTTGGGAATATAGACGCCAACCGAGTTGTGCTGGAGCGTCGCGCGGCCTTCTACGCTGAGGATTGTCGCCCGCAGCATGAGCGTCGTGACGACGATTTTCACAAAGTCCATCGCATAGTGCTGGCCCGGGCAGAGGTACTTTCCGAACCCAAAGGGCGTAAAGTCCTTGGCGAGGCTCGGGTTGGCGAGGAACCGGTCGTACACAAAGCTATGCGGGTCGGGAAACGCCGCTTCGTCGTAGTAGGCGATGTTGCTCTGGAGCACGAGCCCGTCGCCCTTGCGCATCGCGAGCCGCCGGCCGTCGGGAAAGTCGAGTGTCACGTCGTCCACTGCGTACCGCACCGCGCTCGAGTTGAGGGCAAGGCGCAGAGTCTCCTTGATCGCCGACTCGAGCCGCACGCACCTAGAAGCGCACACGACGTTGCACCACTTTAACGTATATCGACGTGCAGTACTTTTCGATCGCGTCCCGGTCCCACGTGGCGTTGGCGCCGACGTGCGACTCGACTTCGGCCTGGACGGCGGCCCACGCGGCCGGGTGCTCTTGCAGGTAGCAGATGGTCCAGAAGCACGCACGCATCGTGTTGGTCGTCATGGCCCACACGAACGAGAGCTGGTGGCCGTCCGTGTCACTGGGCGACACGCCATGCGACTCGCAGATCGACAGCCGGTCGGTCACGACCGACGACACTAGGCACGTGTTGCATTAGACCAACGGGTTCGATCTAAGGTCGTAGTACACTTGTCGCGGCACGTCGCGGCGTACTGGCGTAGCGTCGCATGCATACGACGCCGGGGCGCCTCGACGCCCAGCCACGTGGCCGGAAAGCCAGCGTACAGCGCGGTAAACTTGGCGTCCCACGCGTTAAAGTCGGCCCGGAACGCCGGTGTCGAGAGGCCCGTGCCGTAAAACACCTCGAGAAGCGTCTCAAAGAGCGCTTCGTTGAGGTACGGGTAGAGTGCGACGCGCGTTGGCGTCGGAGGCAGCTGCAGCTTTCGCAGCAACGTCGTGGCACTGACGTCGTTGAACGCATCGAGCGACGGCTTGTGGAAGCCGAGGGTCGTCGTCAGGCTCTTGCGCGTCGCGGTGGCGATCGAGTGGATCGTCTCGTCCGGCAGGCTTGCGTACGTGTGCGAGCCGAAGCCGACACCCATCATGCGCGTCTTGAGCGGCACCAAGCTCAGTTGCGGGTGCTTGGAGATGGTCGGGAAGAGCGCCGGGTCCGCGATGAGCGTGAGCGGCTCGCCGAGCATCGTGATGTTGAAGATGGTGCCGTACTGCCGCACCCAGCGTTGCACGCAGCGCACGGTGCCATGGCGGAAGTGGATGCTCGCGCCAAAGTACGGCAACATCGAGTAGACGTACGGGTACTGGTTGTGGTGCCGGTGCGAGTAGCGGTGCCACGTGAGCAAAATGACGATGAGCGACACGAAGACGAGTGCCCACATGAGTGCGAGTTGAGGAATGAACGGTCTCTCGTAGTCAGGCGCGGTGTTGTGGCGCGTCGAAGTCACGCAGACGAGAGCTTCGAAAAGATCTGTAGCCCTGCACATCATTTCGATCTCGCCTGCGCGTCTTCAACGAGACCCAGATGGTGACAACGCCAGAGCAGGCAGCGATCGCTCGAGTTATCTGCTGCGGTGCAATGTACCACGACGACAATCTCGACTTGTCTCGTCGTCGGGCCTGCGCCAGCACGGGGTCCTTGCCGTTTGCCTTTTGGGTTGCGACGTCGCCCGACTAAATGCACGCAACCTTGCTGCCGTGTACAGTGTACCATGCAAGGCTGCTTTGCAGCGTCCAGAAAGTATCCAAATCTCAGTTCGGGTGCGAACACTTGGACAAAGATGCTCGAGAAAGATGACCGTCGAGACGCAAGCGGTCGCCGAGTTGGTGGCCCATACCACTAAATGCACGCAACTGAAGGCACTGCACCCAGGCGGGAACGTCCAGCGCGCGTGCTGACGCCAGCTAATACGTCTCCGTGATGCCAACGCGTCAGACATGTGGCTTACACAACCTCCATTGTGATCCCTGCGCATTTCCGAGTTGCCATAGATCAAGTGCAAAGTGCAATTGCCAACTGCGATCTCGTCGCCACCATATGAGGAGGAAGCAGCGCACGTGGCCGAGGGTATTATTGCATCGCTGGTCTATCGTGGTGGTGGGGACGGCGACTGCCAGCGATCTACCATAGGCATTGGGTTGGCAGGCGGGCCCTGATCGTCGTCCGGTCGCACGCCAATGGCATCAAGGTGGCTTCGAATCGAAAAGGGCAGCGTCTCGTACGCGGCCTTGAGGCGCTGGACGCAGTGGCCGAGGGCGAGCGACCACGTGGGTGGTGACCACGCCCGATCGTGCTCCGGCACTACGAACGTTGGCGCCACGTTGACGTGTCCGTACACATGCCGAAAGGTCCAGAGGGCGTCGAGGGTGTGTCCATACTCGAGGAGCGAGAGCATGCGAGGTACATTGTCGTCGCCACGGGCCCTTGCGCGGCAGCGTCGTCCGCCGCGGCTTGGAGCGCATCCAGCGTCGCGCGCGGCAGCAGCCGCAGGCGCTTGGCCATCGCCATGTGCTCGACCCAGTAGCCAAGGGGATTGTTGTAGAGGTCCGTTGGCCACTCGGGCGTCGCGGGAACCACAAACGACGGAGGCACCACCGACGCGCCGTGTAGCCGGTAGTAGATCCCGACACCCGACACAATGTGCGCCCACGTCGCCGGTGCGCCAAACGTAAAGCCAATCGTGCGAAGGGCATTCGCTTGGTCCGGTCGGAGCTTGGACGCGCGGAGGCCGATGAACCACGCCAGTTGACCTAACAGCACTCCATGCCACGGCGCTGGCCACGCCGGGCTTTCGGGGACGGCAAAGTCCAACGGCACCGACGCGTCCCCAAGCGTACGGCGGTACATCTCAACAAGCGACAAGAACGTATCGAACGGCGGAATCTGCGCAAAGAGGCCGAGCCGACGCACGGTGGTTTCCATCGCGGGCGTGAGCTCAAACCAATGGTACCGCAGCGAGGCGGGTACATGCGACAAGACGATACCTGCGGCCGCCGACGGCCACATCGGGTCGCTAACGGGCACGGAGAAGTCGACGGGGATCGCATCGAGGTCCCCGCCGAGGCCCCAGTACGCGACGAGCGCCCGGATTTGGATCGAGAGGTCGATGGTTTCAACGACGAGGTCGCCCGACGCCTCGCACACGACGCAGCGCGACGACGGTGCTGCAGTGTGCCACACAAAACCGACGGCGCGCAGGTCACGCTCAAAGCCTCGGTCGTAGGGCCGCTTGACCCGCTGGATCTCGTTGGCGATCGCACCCAGTCGCAGCCCACGGTATTCCACCGGCCACGGCTCGGACGCCGGCACGAGAAACTCGATCGGGATGTCGGCCGATCCGTACATGGCACGGTAGAGTGCGATCACGTGCACTTGTCGCTGCAGGTCCATCGCCGAAGGCGACGCATCGGACGGCTCCTGGACGGACGACGGCTCAAGCTCCTCCATCGGTGGCATCGAATCGATAGGTGGTGGTGTCTGCTCCATGCGTGCTGCTGCCGGCATCGGCGTGTCGCGTCCCGGCGTGGGACCGTGGGGCGCATGCTGCAATGACGCACGGGTGTCGGCCTGGTCGATGGCTCTCGGAGGTGACGCCGGCAGCGTCTGGAGCCAGCGCAAGCCTTCGCCCAGCGGGAAGCGGTGACTGCCCTCGGGCCATGCGTCGCCATTCGCGGGCACGACAAAGGTTTCTGGTACGCTAAGCCCAAACACGTCATCGACGACCTTCTTCATCGCGAGCACGCGCGTCTGGAGCGCGGATGCGTCTGCTGCATTCGTGGGGGTCGTCCACTCGAGTGGCACGGGGACGCTCTGCATCACGAGCTTCTTGACGGCCGCCGCCGTCGTTGGCGGCAGTAGCTCGAGCCGGAACGCGACCTGGGTTACCTTGGACCAGTGGCCGAGTCGGAGGCCGACAAGGTCCGAGGGCCACGTCGATGGCACCACAAACGACGACGGCGCACTCAGTGGGCCGTACAAGCGTTCAAAATGCTCGAGGCCTCGAAGAATCCGAGCCCACGTCGCGTCCGAGTTGAAGACGATGCCCGCGAGCGCCGCCTGCTTTTCTTTCGAGAGAAGCGACATGTTCAAGCCGACACGCCACGCGAGCTCGCCGAGGTCGAGGCCGCGCCACGCATCGAGCCACGAGCCGCCAGTGGCCGGTATGACAAAGTCGCGGTAGACTGATGACACGCCGTACGTGGTTTGGAAGAGTCCGAGAAGACACACAAAGGTGCGAAAGTCGGGCACCGATGGAACGAGGCCCGCGGAGCGCACGACGTTGGCTTGGTCGTCCGAGAGCTCATACAAGTGCGCTTGAATCGCCGGCGGCACGTGCTCGAGAAGCAAGTGGTGCGTCGAGAGAGGCCACGCATCGTCGGCGGGGACCACAAAGCCGCGTGGGACGTGAAAGTGGCCGTGCTGCTGCTGGAAGACGAGAAGGGCTTGGATCTGATCGTGCCACGAGATGGTTCGCGCCGCGCGTGCAGAGGTGTTGGGGCACTGGATGATGCAGCGGCCAACCGACCCCCGGACGCGCCAGAGAAAGCCGAGCGTGTCCAGATCGCTTTGCTGGTCTGGCGACAACATCGCATCCTTCTGGCGCAGCGCCGACACGATGATTCCGAGCAACATACCATGCAAGTACGCAGGGTATGCCGCCGTCGGTGGCACGCGGAACGCTTGCGGCACAGCGAGGTGGCCGTGCTCGGCGCGGTAGCACCCGAGCGCCGTGAGCTTCTCCTGAAAGCTCCATTTTCGCCGCGGCGCAGAGTCGATAACGTCGCTTGTCTCGGGCTCAATTTCCGGTGCGTCCTCGGTCTGGCCATCGTCCGACGCCATCGCCGACGCGTCCGAGACGTGCTGCAGGAACGAGGTCGACGGCGAGCCATCTGCGTCCATGCGAGGGCGTTTCGAAGGTCGCGAGACGTCGCTAGCCGCCATGCATTGCGAGCCGATCGACGGCGACAGGGCGTAGTAGCTGATGGTTTCAGTGGGCGGGTACGCGTGCTCCACCCGCGGCCGGTGGCATGGCACGTCCATCGGCCGGTCGCTGGTTGTCATCGGAGCAAAGCCTTCCGTGCCAACAGCGAGTGGTCCCGGCGTGCGCACCACAGCGGTTGCGCTAACGGCTTGCGTCGTCGGCCATGGAGTGCGCGCGCCGCTCGCAACCAAAGCGTCGATGGCCGCGACGCTGTCCATGGTCTCTTTCGGAAGCAGCCACAGCGCACTGGCTTGGCGCAGCTTGGCGACAAAGTGCCCGAGTCGCATGCCGCACAGTTGCGGGCCCCACTCGTCCGGAATCACAAAGCTACTGGGCACGATGGCATGGCCGACGTGGGCCACGTAGATCTCGAGGCCGCGTACGATGCGCGCCCACGTCGCCGGCACGTTGAACGCAATCGCAGTGTCTGCTAGCTCTGCGCGTCGCTTTGGCGGCAACAGCGCGCGCTTGATGCCGAGGTACCACACAACGTCGCCAAGCGTCGCGCCGAAGTAGCACGCCGGCCACGCATCGGTCGATGGCACGACAAAGTCGAGGGGCACGAAATTGCAGCCCGTGTTTATCTTGTAGAGCGAGAGCAAGCGCAAGACGTCGGTCCACGGCAAAAGGTCCTTGCACAGCGACAGGCCGTGCACGCTCGCGACGTCGTCGTCTGAGAGCGCGTAAAAGTTGGTCCGGAGCGCCTGCGGCGCGAAGCGCAGCACGACGTGGGCGGCCTCGGCAGGCCACGCGTCGTCGTCGTGCGGTACGACAAAGTCGTTGGGCATGTCGAGGTCGCCGAAGCGATCAGAATAGGTCTGCAAGGCGGCGACGAGCGCGGACAGCTGGACGCGCTGGAGGTTGCGCCGGCCGTTGATCGAGACGATGATGCGGTGGTTGTTGAGGTGCAGCGCCCACGCAAAGCCGATCGCTTCGAGCTGCGCAAAGTTCTCGGGCTCGAGCATCTTGCACGACGAGCGCGCATTGTCGGCGAGGCGGCCCAGCGCGAGGCCGTGGAAGAGCTCCGGCCATGGCTCTGCGGCCGGCACGACGTACTGGATGCGAGGCCGGCAGTGGCCGTACACGGACCGGAAGATGGCGAGCGCCAGGATCCGCTGCTCGCGTGGCATCGTCATCTTGGGCAACGCCAATGCCATCCGCGTTGTGTCGAAATGAACAGCCAATCAAACGCGTCGGGCGAGCTTATTTTAGCCAATCCAATTGCTGCAACGCACAGGCCACTTCAATTCCCCTTTGTCGCCAATAAATGCCAGGAGTTTTTTGTTCCCTTGCCTACGGCACGAGTGTCGCAATGCAATTATGTAATACATGTACTCAACAGTTGTTTAACCCTAGTAGATGCGTAAGACGCAGCATATACCATTAGTCGATATTAGAGCCATTATTGGTCGCCGACGCACCACGCTTGGGCTACTGATGGTGAGTCGACCCACCAAGATACCATGTTCTAGGATACCAACCTCGCTGGTCCTCGGTCGTTCTTACTTTGAAACCCCCTAATTACCGGTAGCCAAGGAAACACTTTTGTCTTCCTCCTTTTTGTTTGTGTTAGCTGAGGTCGCGCAGAGGCACCGCGAATGCAAATTGCGGCGTCGGACTCGGGCACCGGGGTCGGCGGAAGAAGCGCCAGGTTTTGATGTCAAAGATACACCAGTGTCCGTGGACCTCGAGCACCAAGAGGCCCGCGAGGATCGCGGACGTCGTGTCCAAGTACGTCTCGCCGTCGTGCGTCCAGCGATCGAGTTGTAGGAGGTACACACTCTGTGCGTTCAGGGATAACGCCGAGGCCATATTTGCGCACGCTTGCGTCCGAGACCGCCACCGATCGTAGAGGTAGCACCCGACAACACAACCGGCGGCCAGCAGCACGGCCAACTGCAGGCGCGCCCAGCTACCGACCTCGATGGTGCCGGCGACACAGACAAGGCCCGCGTCCATGTCGACGCGGATGCAGTCGCGCTGCAAGAGAAAGGAAGCGCGCTGCGGCTGCGCATACGACCAGATCGCAACGAGGAGCCATGCGAGGTTAGAGCTCTTGAACGCATACGAGGCCGTGTGTGCGAGCGTGACGCAGCTCAAGACGTCGTTGAGGACGTAGACCAGCCATGTGACTTCGGACGCGGCGAGGATCGTCTTGTACCACGGCACGGCGGGCGTGACGAGCCTTGTGGCGCCGCCGACGCGGACCAGCGCCAGCGGCACCGTGCTCAAGAGACTCAGCGCCGTTATCGTTCGGAGCACGAGGAGCGTGCGACCGACCCAGACGAGCCCGATGAGCCGGTTGACGCAGAAAAAGTTGAGGCCCTCGATGCGGCCGCGGCAGTAGACCACGCTAATCGCCACGAGCCCGGACGTTGCAATGAGCACAAGTGTGACGTACAGAACGGCATATTGGCAAAAGGCTGCGAAGCTGGCCGGGATCGTCGCCGGGTCCGGTGCGATGCTCTGAGGAACGGTGTAGTGCGACATGGCGGTGACCGCGCCTTCGTCACCTTCAAAGCGAACGACTTCGCGCCCGCCAGTCGCCCACTCGTAGACGTAGCACCAGCCGTAGAAAGCCCACGCGGGATCGCCCGCGTCGAAAAGCGGGAGGCTGAAGAGCACAGCGCCACGACCGTCGTTGTAGTCGACGTACTGCGTGAGCTGGACGTTCAGCGTCGATACGCTTGCTTTGGCCGCCGCCGCCAGCGACAGCAACGGCGGCGCTTGAAAGATCGACGCATGGTCGGCGAGAAACTCCGACAATGTGACGTACGTCGAGATGCACGATGCGGCGGCGGCGTTGTTGAGGCGACAAATACGAACCGCTGGCACCGTCGGCGACGACGTTCCTTCGTGAACGGCGAGCGCGATCACCATTTCTTGGGTCGTTGGGTAGATCTGCTCGGCGAAGTTGACAAAGCAGAGTCCATCCGTGCCAAAGAGCTTGTACAACGCGACCGAGGCAGGGTACGCCGCGTTGTCGTTGCCGCAGAGAATGTTGCCGCCAACGACGACGGCCGACGCGTCGTCGATGAGCACTCCGGGGGCGTGAAAGATCGAACTCGGAATCGCCAAGTCGTAGAACCGATTGCGCGCCTCGCCATTTTGCAGCACGAGTGTCGCGAGCGACTGCGTCAATGTCGCGAAGAGCTGACTCGCAACGGCAGGTACGGGCACGTACACGACGTCGACGGCGTTAAAGGGGCCCACACGACTTGTAAACGACACCAAGCCGCTCCGGAGTGGACTCGGCAGCGTCAAATTGCGAGTCAAGAGCGCCACGCCCGATACATTCGACGAGGCAAACGCGGGACTCGCGGCTAGAAGGCTGCGCCCGCCGATGCCACTCGCATTGGTCGCGACGGCCCAGAGGTCGCTGGCCAGCGTCCAATAGGCGCGCATCGACGTCTGCTGCGTCGGGTGGAAGCGGCCAATCACATCCCCCAGCGACAGCGCATACGTCACCCCGAGCGCATTTCTGATGTTAAACGCATGTGTCAAGCCCAGTGTCTTGTAGTTTTGCCACTGCAGCGCATACGTGGTGAGGCCGTGGCGTCGCCAGAACGCTGCTTCGTCGTCAATCGACGTGGCTACGGCTTGGACACGCTGGAGCCACGTCTGGCCAGCTTGCAGCGTACGGAGGTAATCGACGAAGCCAATCTCGAACGAATGGCCCCAACAGCGTTGCCACACAGCCCAGTCGTTCAGGTTGCGCAGCGGGGCTTCCAAGTACACGGCGCCGTTTTCTGCCATTGTCGCTTCGCAGCGTGCTTGCCGCGCTCCTGTGCTGGCCATGGCCCAGTTGCGATCCAAGTCGAGCCAGCAGTACTGCGTTGCGATCCACGGCAGCCGACACGGGTCCATCGACCGCAAGTCGCGGACGACACTCTCCAAAGCGACGCCACTCGGGTCCAGCAGCAGCCGGTTGCTCAGCGTCGCGCCCCATTGAATCAAACTGGCCTCGCTATCGTAGCGCTGGTTGATGTCGCCGCGGCTCGCGTCGTCGAGGGCGACGGTCCCCGATGACGTGAACACAAGCTCGCGGTTCACGACGTTGGCCAGGTACGCGTGCATGCCACTGCTGTTGAAGCCGGCGACGTAATAGTCGTTGGCGAGCGACGCTTGAATCAGCGAGAGGTAGGTCACGTTGCCGAGGAGTGTAAAGACCATGTAGGTCACCCCCGCGACAAGAGATACGCCGTGCCACGACCAGCGCCGCGCGTGCTTCGCGATCGCAAACGAAAGCCGCATCGACGGTCGCTGCGGGCGCATGGAGGAAAGGTGTACCACCGCCGACACGACTGGCACCACTGACGCAACTGGCACCACTGACGCGACTGGCACCACCGACGCGAGTTGGGTTTCGGACGGCACGGTGCGCCATAGCTTGGTGTCGAACGTCGTCCAGTGACCTCGCCAGCGCACCGAGACAAAGCCGCACATGAGACGCGCAATCGCGTTCTTGGGAACACTGTCGACAACGTCGTGGGCGCGGAGCCCGACAAGGCAGGCGGAGGTGTAGAGAAGGCCGGGGGAGGCATCGGTTCGGGTCGTCCAGAAGCGCGACATCGTCACTGCAAGTGGCACGAAGAGGCTGCCGGCACCGAGCAGCACAAGGCGAGGATACGACCCGAGTGTCACGACGCCGCTGTCGCAGTACACCATGGTGGCCATGTTGACGCTGTAGCACGATCGCGCAATGGACGCCGTTGCTTCGACCGGCGCCAACTGGTCGAGAAGCAGCAAAAGCAGCCACGTGAGTGCTACGCTGGGCCACAGCGCCGAGCGATGCCGCTCCGGCGCCAGCGGCTGCAGTGCCTCATGGGCGATCACCGTGGCCCATGTGACGTCGCTGGCAAGAAGCCCCGACAGAAGCAGCGACTTTGGTTGCGGCTCGAGCCCAAAGGTTGGGAACGTTGGATCGGACGGCCCATACTGCGCAGTGGCCAAGCAAATCGCAGCTGTCATGGCGCGACACGTGAGCAGATTGCGATTCAGCCAGACCGACCCGACGACGCAGTTGAAGCCTAGCCACGGACTGCGTCGGGACCGTGCGGACCACGCGACGAGAAGCATGAGAATGGCAACGCCCGCGAGTCCAACGGTGACAACAGCAGCACAGTACGCCAAGTACACGGCCAGACTCGAGCGCAGTGATGGCTCCGGGCGCGCCATTGGCGCGTACGCGTACGACATCAGGCGGAGCGTTTGAACATCGCCTTCGAAGGACACGACTTCCTTCTCGTTCACCGCCCAGTTGTACACACTCATCCAGCCAAAGTACGCCCAATCCGACGCCAGTAGCCGCTGAGTGACCATCGTTACGTTGCCCGGCGCGGTGGCTGGTGTTGTAAACTGAATGTAGGCAGCGTCAACGTCGATGGGTTCGATTCGAGGTATAGCGAGCTGAAGGTGCCGCCACGCTGCCGAGGCGGCTGCAAACTGCTTTAAACACGCCTCCACTTGGTGCTCTGGCAGCGTCGTGCGACAAACCGAATTGTCTGCTTCCATGGCGACCGCAAAGAGAGCGCCAAACGGTGACGTGAGTAGCGTCAGGGGCTGCTGGGTGCCGCAGGCATCGTCAAAGCCAAACGTCTCTTGCACAAACGACAACGGCATGCCACTGTAGCACATGGGGTTGCCGCCAAGAAAGGCCCATGCTGGGTCACGCCACGCCAGAGGCGTCGGTGTCACGGGGGAGGATGGGATCGCATCCCAAAGCCCTGTAAACGTAGCGTCGCGACGGCGCAACGCGGCTAGAACGCCGGTTCGCATGGCGCCCACACTAGCAAGAAGCGATGGCGGAGGGGCGACCCAGCGCAGATCGATCGACATGAGCGGTCCGATCTGGTCGTGCAGCGCTTGATTCACCGGCGCCAAGGGATCGCCGACGTTGAAGACTTCAATTTCGCTCGGGTTGATGTCGGCCCAAAAGTTGGTCGTGTTGCGGACGAGGCTCTCACCCGCCGCGATCCCGACAAGGTCGTACTCGAGCGGCGCAAAGATCGACGCGGTGCTCCAGACACTCGTCACGGCCATGCTCGGAAGCGTCTTGATGCGCCATGGCAGTGCATACCCCATCGCGTTGGTGATGTATATGGTTTCTTGCACGCCGAGGCCGACGTAGTTGGCGTACTGCAGATGAAACTCTGTGAGGTTGTGCGATCGCCACACCGCGACTTCGTCGGCGACTGCGAGACGGACGTGCGCGTAGAGCTGTTGCCGCCACGTGGCACCATGAGGCGTCACCGCAATCGGACCAGCGATGCGGGCTTCAAAGCGCGCGGCATTTTGCACGAGCCACGCCGCCAAGTCGATGTTGCGCAGAATCGCTTCGAGGTGCACTGCGCCGTTGGCTGCATACCGGGTCGCACACCGCGCTTGGCGCTTCAGTGTGTGCGCCATTTCCCAGTGCTTTTCCAAGTCTACCCAGCAGTAGGGCGCCATGAGGTATGTGACTTTGGCCACGTCGAGGCGCGCGAGGCCGGCAACCCCGGCTTCGATTGTAGCGAGGTCGCGGTAGAAGATCAGGCGCGCGTACGCTGGGTTGAGACCAACGGACGGGGCGAGCGAGACACCGGAGAGGTCGAGTTCCGGCAGGTGCGGCGTGAGGGTGAGCTGCGTCTCAAAGACCGTCAAGAGGCCCCTGGACGTGTTGGACGAACCAAAGCCGGCCCAGAAAAAGTCGTTGGTCATGTACGGCCGGATCACGAGGAGCGCTGCGACGCTCGCGCCAATGGATACCACGAGGTATGCGGCACCACAGAGCTCAACGACAGCGTCCCATCGCGACGGCGGCAGCGCCACGACCGTCGGTGGCATTGGTGGCAACGAGAAAAGCCAGCTGAAACCGACTGGAGTTTCATGACACAGCTCATTACGTTAGCAGACAACACGACATGCAACGTCTCGGTGCAACCACTTCGTTTGTACAGGTGACTGTGCGACCTTCTGTCGTACATGGGATCAAGGAGATCAATATTTCTTGATGGGATGCTCGTTGCTCGCGCCTGCTCACTTTGCCGCGTCTAAAATGGAGTGCGTTTAGACAATGATACCGCGCTGTGATTGGTTTAACGCCTCGACCAATCCATTTCGTACGGCAATATGGGCAAGCGCCGCCACCGCGGGCCGCCGGCGCCGATGCGGCCGACGCCAGCACCTGCGCGTCACAGCAGCGCGTCGTGTGTGCACCAAGTTCTTTTCGAGGCCACGTTCCTGCACCTTATTGTGCAGTTCCAAGACGGCGTCTTTCTGCCGCTTGTGCCTCGCTATCGGTGCACACGTCGTGTTCGGCTACGTGGCTCATGCGTACTAGGGCCTGGTCGCGCGCCTTCCTCGAGCCAAACGGCATTGACGACCGCGCGCAGCGATCGTTGCGGCTGAGATCGCGCGGTGATGCTCGCTACGTCCTGCACGCTGCAATCGTCGAGAACGAGCTCGCGCTCGTGGGGCATCTGTACCGATGCCGGCCGGCGCTCTTCACGCACGACGCGGCCGACTTGGCCGCCGCGCACGGCCACTTGCGCGTCTTGCAGCTGCTGGCCGAGCTTCATATCGTCGGCTCGGCCGATGCGCTGGACCTCGCCGCCACGAACGGGTGCTTTGCTGTCGTCAAGTGGCTGGTGCAGGGCAAGGCAGTATTAGCAACGTCTGCCGCCGTCGACGGCGCCGCCACCCACGGGCACTTGGATATCGTCAAATTTCTCGATCGCCACGGAGGCTTTGGTAGTGTACGGAGCTAGCATCGTGTCTCTCGACATCAATTGTAGCCGCCACGACAGCCGCCATGGACGGCGCGGTCGCGAACCGACACGACGCGATTACGAAGTACCTCCATGCGAAGCGCAGCGAAGGCTGTACGACAGCAGCCATGGACGCAGCGGCCCTCCATGGGGATCTGGCCATGGTATGTCAATGCCACGTCATCACGTACGTACATCATCGCGTAGGTGGCCTTTCTGCACGAGCACCGACATGAAGGCTGTACGACGCAGGCCATGGACCAAGCTGCGGGCCATGGCTTCCTTCCCGTCGTAACCTACCTGCACGAACACCGGCTCGAAGGGTGCACCGCGAGCGCGATGGACGAAGCTGCCGCCGCCGGACACTTGGACGTTGTCCAATTCCTTCACCGGCACCGCGAGGTTTGTTCCTCTCACTCCGACGCAGTACTTTACGGATGCTGTCACAGGAAGGGTGCACGAGCCATGCACTGGACTATGCCGCAAAAAACGGCCACCTCAAGGTCGTTCAGTACCTGCATGCGCACGCGCTCGCCACGTGCTCACCGCTGGCTGTCGAGTTTGTCGCTGCGGCCGGCGGCCTCGAGATGCTCACGTATTTGCACAAGAGTTGCAAGGCATTGGCCTCGCCGATGGCTCTCGAGCTTGCAGCGCGGCATGGGCACGTCAACCTCGTCAAGTACATGCACGAGCAAGGGTTGGTGTCCGGGACGCCTCGCGCGATGGAGCTCGCGATTCAGTTTGGCCACCTGGGTGTCGTCAAGTACTTGCACCAGCAACGCGTGGTCAAGATGTCAAAGACTTTTATGCAGGTCGCGCTGGCATATCAGCAACAGAAGATCCTCCAGTTCCTCCGCCGCAAGTAGATCGACCCCACTACTGCAGTACTGTACTGTTGTAGCAGGCGGCCATCGCGTTCTTGGCCCTCGGTTCATCTAGGGGTGCGTAAGCTACGATTTTATACTCTTGTTTTTATCAACCAAACCATGTGGGCTCTTTTGCAGTCGCCTGCAGTGCTTGCGACCGCGAGTGAGGCTTAGACGACGAGCTGCGTAAAGTCCCTCCGGGCGTCACGATCGGCGGCAGAGCTACGCATTTGGTTGAGGTCCTCAAGAGACGCCAGTGACCGAAGTACAGTACATGGTGTCAACGACGTGACGTCGCGGCTGGAGCTACTAGAGCTTTACAAAGAAATACTAGATTCACGGAGCCGTGCGCGTACAACTTGCTGCTGCTGTCGCCAACTTTGTACTAAGTTAACTGAAGGAGGGTATACAAGATGTCTCAAATTGTGTATTTTATCGGCAGCGATTACTGCCGTAGTCATGCAGCCGTTGTCTCTGTGGCTAGGCTTACCCAGCCGAGGATCGTCTCGTTCGAATGAAACTTCTGAATCGTATACTGCGAGTGCCCGTCCGTCACGACGCGTAGCCGGCGCGAGTATGTCTCGGTCCAGATCGTGTCGTCCATGTTTTGCTCAATGATGTCGACGTGGCTGTCCTGGACGTCGACGATGACGGCGACGTGGCCCGTGTACGTGTTGATGCCGCCGTGGTTCCAAATGAGAAGACTGCCTTTCGTCGGTCGCGTCGCGCTGCCGTTGCGATGGCGCGTCACGGGCTCCAAGAAGCGCGTTGCTACGTTGGCGAAGCGGGTTGTCGGCTCGAAAATCTCATACGCAAAGCCAATCGACTCGAACGTGACGCCAAACTGCACGAGGAGGTACCGGCGCGCGAGCTCGACGCACTGCCAGCGCACGCCCGTAAAGTGACCGTTGTGGAAGTGCGACTTGAAATTCCCGCGGTTACCGCCACGGCTCGAGTACACCTCGACACCGTCGCGCGTGCCGAGGAGCGTGCCGAACGGCGATGCGCGGCGGTGTGTGACAAAGCTGGCATCGTCGAGGCAGATCTCGGGGGACGCAGCCGTCGAGTGTTTGAGCGCAATCGATGGGCTCGACGGCGCAGTGTACGTGGCTGTGTAAGTCATCCGCACTTCAGAAATGAGTAGCGAGGAGAATAAGATGGCGCCCATGTCCGGCGGCGCTCGCGTGATGTCAGTCGAATTCCGCTTGTTCGTTGGCAGAAGATTTGTCAAGGGCCAAGGCCATTGGCTGAAATGCGCCAATCATCGCGTCGTATGCTTCGGAATCATTGGTACCGGTACGGGATTGGTTAAATTCTAGCCAATCCATCTCGAGACTTGGAAAGTGCAATTACTTGTCTGGCTTGGACCCGACGGCAGATCCGACGACCCCTTCACGGGCGACGAGAACCGCGTGGCCGCACATGACACATACGTTTTACGTATGGATGGCGCAGCAGAAGAGGCTGGCGTCATCCGTCTCCGGAGTGGTCATCAAGAGATTTCGCGCGTGCTACGCCAGCACCACGGCACGAACGAGGTGTCATGGGTGCTGGCAAGGCATAGCTGCATGAGCGTTTTGGTGCCGGCTTCTTGCGCAAGAGGTCAGAAAGGTCTTTGGCAACTCTGCGCAATGGCACATGCGAGGTCGTTCTCAAGTCCCTTGGCACCCGGCGTGCAAATCGAAGCGAGTTGTTCGTAGCAGAGAACCGCAGGATCCGAGCCGAACCGCAGATCCCGACCCACCTTGGCATATGACCTCGCTCGAGCGAGGGTGTCAGGTTTCACCAAGAGAAGAGTCGAATCAACCCAAACTCTATTCTGCATTTTTGAGGTCTGGATTCTCTCTTGGTGTAGCTTGTGCATGATGTGTGGACGGCAACGGTGCATAAAGCTTGAAGTACGTACTATCCCGCACATTGATGACTGTCGTCAAACTGCTCCTCGATCGATGCAGCTGCGAGATCACAAGCCGCAGACATGCGCCATCATGCATGCTTACGCTGGTACTCTTCGCATGCAACAACGGCTCGGTCCCGAGGAGCGGGACCTGTGCGACGACGTGGTGTGTCCAACGCCGTGTCCGTGGTAGTACCCGCTTCGCTGCCACCGAGCTCCGGTCGATCATCGCTTTTCGTGAAATTTTTCGTCACCTCCAAATTCATGAAATTCAAGTTTCGCTTGAAAAAAGCCGTGGTTGTGCGGGCCGCAGGCATGTGGTTTAGTGGATTCCGACCATTTCTACGTCGTCGTCTACGCCCGAATCAGGACGCCATCTGAGCACGTCGACGCGCGGGCCGTTCGTCGCGGTCCCTGGGCACCTTGTACATACACACTTGCCGTGCAGTCGACGACCTTAATCCATTGGCAAATCAACTAACTAACTAACGAACAGCAAACTCGATCGTTGACTGCGACGAGCGCGCCAGTTTGCCTGTTGGGGCGGAATGGCCTGTCGCAATTTTATTCCATGTCGATACAAATACCAAGCTATAAAAAGACAGGCGATGCCCAGCTGGCGTATTACTGTACCAGAGGCAGTGGAATTGTCAAAATTTGATTTCGACCAAGCATGGCACGCCAGCAGCGGTCGGCGTCGGCGTCCGACGCAGTCCTCGAGAAGGAGCAGCAGATGCACGTGCGCCAGCTCCTCGGGTCCGACTCGGCGGCGATGGCCTCGAGCGCGCTCCGGCGCATGGCGGCGCTCGACCAGTTGTGCCCTTCAAGCTCGTGCAGTTCGTGCTCTTCCTTGACTTCTTCATCAACCTCGTTGCCACGACCATGACGTCACAGTACACGTTCTTTGAAGTCGCCAAGCACACGCGGCTTCTCTCGACGGCTGCCGTCGGCCTCTGCGCGCTCGAGCTCCTCCTGCGCATCGCCTGTCTTGGCCGCCACTTCTGGTCGTCGGTCGTCTCGTGCCTCGACCTGGCGGCGTTTGCGCTCATGGCCGCGCTGCTAGGCTGCCGGTACATTCACCTCGAACGCTGCTATGGTGTGTAAAGGCGACGACTGTGTAGCTACTGGAAGAAGGACAACCGCAACAACTGGCGCATTGACTTGAACGGCAAGGAGATGGACGAGTACCACGACAAGTTCAAGATCAACCAGATCGAACAGTACTTTGCCGCCGCCTACGTTTTCGCAGTCGCACTGCGCTTTGTGCTCAAGTCGCAGGCCCGCGACTACTCGCTCTCGCTGCAGACGCCGGCGAAAGCAACGACGGTCTCGGTCGCGTCGCTGAAATCCACGCTGCGCTCGATGCCGGGCATGACGCAAGTGCGCGCGCGCTCGACCCCTTGCTCATATCAAAGCCATGCGTAGGAAGCGCTCTCGTTGATGACCACGGACCTCGCGATCCTCTGCGGCGACGACGACGGTCTCCTCACCACGACCGAATTGCAGCTTTTTCTTGAAAAAGCCGTGCTCCACCGCCCGGCCGACATGTCGATCAACGCGTTTCTCCAGCACCTCCAGAGCCTCGACACGACGCCTGTCGTTGCCTACGGCATCCAAGACGTGCTCGGCTCGACCTACCGCCACTGGTCGAACCAAAAGATGCTCATGCTGGCGACGTTCCTCATCGTCTTGTTCCACGCGACCCTCGTACCCATCCTCGCGTACCTGCTCCAGATCCTCGGCGATTACGCATTTCCCGTCTCGTCGCTCACCATGTACAAGACGGGCGAAGGCATCAAGCCGTATCTCGAACACGAATTGCGTTTCAACAACAAGACGCTGGACGACACTGGCACCTACATCGATGTGCCGGGTGTCAAGCCCAACCGGACGCTCACGATTGGTCTCGCTGGCCTCGGCGGCCTCTGCGTTCCATTTGTAATTTTGGATGCGCTCATGGGGTTTTGCCAGTCGCGACTCTTGTCGCGCGCGACCGAGTCGATCCAGAACCGGTTGGTGTCGCTCTTGCTCCACGAGTCGACGGCCTTTTACGCCATGCGATCCGAAGGCGACCTCAACAACCTCTTTGCCTCGGACGTTGCGCGCGTCAACACGCTGTGGCAAGCTGTGTTTTGGGTACGTGTTTTCTCGATTTTCCTCTTTTTTTCTCCCTTTTTTCATCTTTTTTCTCATTTTGTACTCTTTTTTCAGAGGAGTGAAAGGCTCAACCATGCCATGGTAGAATTTCATCTACCCCGTCGTGTCGATCACGCTCGGCTTTGGCGCCCTCTTCTTCTTCGAGCCCACAATCGCCATCATGAGCTTTGGCTTTGTCATCATCTCGGTCATGTCGGGACCGCGCACGTTTGCGTCGACGCAGTCGCAAGCGTTTGGCTCCAAGTCGGCGTTTGCCGCTGCCGAGTTTCAGAACGCGGTCGGGTGCCACAAGGTCGTCCGCGCCTACCGCATCCAGACGCCGCTCCTTCGCAAGTTTTCAAATACCATTGACACGCTGCGCGAAGCCCAGTTCCGCAATGATTTCTGGAGCGGCCTCGTCCAGATCTACGTCGAGTCAGCCATGTTCCTCTTTGTCGCGATCATCACGTGCGGCATGGCGGTCAAGGTACGTTTGTGTTTGATGATTGGGTGGTGTTCATGGTGGGACGTAGGTGTGGCAAGGCTACATGACGGCGGGTGACTTTTTCTCGGTCGTGACGCTCCTCAGCCGCGTCTCGACGCCCGTGACGGTCCTCGGCGGCTTCATGCGCGTCGCGATTGGCAATGCTGCCAGTCTCCAGCGCCTCGACACGATTCTGTACCAGGTAGAGACCGACGCCACGTGTGGCGAAGCGACATGCACTTGTTGTAGCGGTATGCGTCGTCGCCGACGACCGACGATCTCCCGTCGCTTCCGATGCTCACATCGTACATTCGCTTTCAGCACGTGTCGTTCCAGTACCCGAGTTCTGACGCGCCAATCGTGCATGATTTTAGTGCTTCGATTCCGCTGGTGCGCATCCTTTTTGATTTTTGATTTTTTTATTTTTTGACTCACACACAGTCGAATGTAGGGCCACTATGTGTGCGTGGTCGGGCCCAGTGGGTGTGGCAAGAGCTCGCTCCTCAATGCACTCTTGCAAGTCTACCCGCTGAGCGCGGGGTCGATTCTCTGGGACGCCTCTCCGATCGCCAACTACTCGCAAGCGAGCCTCTTGAGCCAAGTGGCCGTTGTGTTTCAAGATGGCGGTATCCTCAACGGCACGATTCTCGACAACATTCGGTAGCTTTGTCCACACCACAAGAAACAATATTGAGTGGATGCTTATGTAGCTATGGCCGGCCCACCGCGACACTCGAAGACTGCATCGAGGCCGCACGGCTCGCCAACTGCCATGCGTTCGTGTCGCAGCTGGCGATGCAGTACGAGACCGTCGTCGGCCAGCACGCCGACGTCTCGCTCAGTGGCGGCCAAATGCAGCGCATCTGTCTGGCGCGGGCGCTGGTGCGCAAGCCGAAGCTCTTGATTCTGGACGAAGCCACGTCGGCGCTCGACACGGAGACGGAGGCGCAGGTCGTCGCGACGCTCAAGAAGCTCACGGCGTCGTGGGGCATGTCGATTCTTTCGGTAATTTTACGCGAGTTTTCAAGAAATGAATGACGGAGACATGGCATAGGTGACGCACCGTCTCGCGACGACGCAATCCGCCGACAACATTCTCGTGCTTCAGAACGGAACGCTGGCCGAAGAGGGCTCGTACGCGGCGCTCATGGCCAACCCGTTTGGACTCTTCCGCGAAATGGTGCAGAAGAAGGCGTCGGACGGCAGCCCTCGCCCGTCGGCCGCGCCCAAGTCGGACGAAGAAGCCATGTACCTCTCGGAAGAAGCGCTCGGCGCCTTTACGCGTGGCCTCGAATCGCGCGTGGTACAATTCGCTCGTTCCAAAGACGGACAAGTTGTCTGATGCTATTTTATCCTAGAGCTCGCGCCGCAGTTCGCGCGCCGAGAGCCAAGACAGCCGATCCAAGAACCCATCGTTTTTGAACGTGACGACTGAAGAAGGCGCGCGGGATAGCTACATTGTTATGTAGACACTTCTGCATATCTATAACTAACTGTGACGCTGCGACCATCGTGGCTATATCGTCTACCAAGCACATACAACTTGTGCGCCCTTGATGCGACCTACTACTCGCTTCGACTCGGCCCAGATAGCGCTCCATACGAAGCGCTTAGTGCGTCATCGCAGCGCGCATGTGACAAGCCCGTAGTACCTCACGGGCAGGTCACCCAAGGGTGCCGAGGTGACTAATAACCCTAGCCCTTTTCCCCTAACCCTCGTGCTGTCTCGATGTGAAAATGCGCCATTATAGGTCTCTATGCAGCATGCGGGTGCGGCTCAGGACGACGGCAACGAAGAGAACTCTTGTGCCTGTGGACAGTGCCATGGACGAAGCTTGCGCGTCCACGGAGGAATCCTGGTAAGCGAAGTACCGGTGCATCTGTGTACGCGAGGATGAAGACAACTACCGAGTCGTTGGTGGCGTTGGTGGCGGGCGTCCAGCTCGGTCGGCGTCCGCGCTGGGCGAATTACCTTTAACGGTATGCTTGTCGAACGCACCGCTTTCGCCGCAATGTGATGCATTCGACACACGGCTGTGATATGTACATTGGCGAGATTGCCGCAGACGGAGCCCACGTCGAGGATGCATCCCAGCGTGGCGGGCTCGCGACGACGGAGAGCTTTTGCCGCATAAGATCGATGCGCACGGCCAACGAAAAAATGAAACTCGTTGAGGTACGAAGAGCGACGAGGAAGGGCGCAATGAGCACAGTAGCCGGGGCGTTCAGAGCACCACGTGCCCTTGGTGCTTTCATTCAATCAAACAATCAAACGTGTTTGGGTTTAAATCAAATTAGCACAAACGAACTCCAAGACGTCACATACGCAGCGCTACGCCAAGATGCATGGGAGTTGGCACCGCCACTTGGTCGTTGGGACCTTGGTGCTTTGCTGGGGTTATAAAGTTGCGCTCTGGCTGCTATACGAGGGCCTCCTAGAACAGCTCGGGCTCTCAGGCCTCATGAAGAATGGTGTGAGCGCAAGCTCCTCCGTCTGCCCACGCATCAAAGTGAGAGTTTTGAATGATCTTAAACGTGTATTGTAAAACCCGTTTCCACCTTGGCGCCTTTTGAATCAAGTGGTTTCAGAAAAAAAAGTGCAATGAGCCTCCAAGCGCGTCTGCACGCGACCGAGAACGTGGCAACGAAGGACGTGCACGTCGACGTGGTGGCTACCAACGCCAACAACCCACACGTGCTGGGCTCGGCCAATCTGCTGGGCCACGCCGTGAGCTCCGGTAGGCCACTGCATACAACGACGACAACATAATCCCATGGGTAGCGAAACTACCCAGTGTGCACTCGGGCATCACGCGCATGCAGAGTCTCTTCCGCGACCGGCAGACGCAGCTCGTGTCCAAGCACAAGGTCGAGAACGAGGAAGCCCAGCGGCAGCGCCTTCAAGCCATTTGGCAGCTCTTGGTCACTGGATTTGAAGTACGCAATCCTCTCCTCCGACTCCACAATCCAACCCGAATGTAGCTGACCAAGTACCCGAAAGCGGGCCGTGCGCGCAAGCGCATCCTCTGGCTCACGCTCGATGGCAAGCTGTGCGTTGGTCGATCCAAAGCCGCCAAGCACGCTGGCAAGTTCATGCTCCTTTGGTTGGTACCCCTCCCATCCGAAACAATGAGGGACGACGTGCGTAGGGATGTCGAGACGATCGAGAAAGGCTGCAGCGCGCCGCAGTTTACGGATTCGCTGAGCTGGCGCGACGCCCGAAGCAAGGAGCAAATGTGTCTCTCAATTGCGGCGCGCACCAAGAATTCCGTGGAGCTGCGCTACTTTGCGCTCCAAGTCAACTCGAACAACGTGCGCAACATCCTCGTTGAGAACCTCAGCGTGCTTTTGAGCCAGCTTCACGGCGACAGCGACGGCGACTACCCGCGGGTGGTGCGGAGCCGCCTCGGACGCCACTTTGCCGCGACAGGCGACGTCCTCGCGCTGGTTGACGTTCGCGCGCTCCTGGATCGTGAAGGCTCGGAGCGCGCCGAGAGCCCGGTCAAGGAAGGCGACCACGACAGTGGCGAATCCGACTCGGGAGACGAGTAGACGAAACGCCGGCGTCCGACACTGTGCTTGCTAGTATTGACAACTTGTACACTAGTATTGACAACCTGTACACGATCCTACGAACGACGATATTGGCAAGAATTGGAAGAAATAGCAGTGTCGTGTGGTGCAAATGTAGTAGGACGCCGAGAGGGCAGGCGTGGAGATGCAGCCAACACAGTCGAGGCTGCTAGGGCCGCGACGTCGACCTTCCATGCAAAAATCGCACGCAAATGATCGCGCAACAGCTAGACCGAGACGCGATGGCTAACGCTGCGCCAAGACGACTCTGAGTCCTGGAGCTGGAACCACGTCGTGGTCGAATCATGGATCGGTCTGACACCGCAACACTAGAGAAGCTCCCGCTACTTACGCCCTCCGCAATGACCCTCCGCTGCGTGTACCATCCACATCATCGTTCCCTTTCAAAACAGGTCGCGCTAGAGGTGGATTGCCACCGCAGGCGTGTCGCCATTGTTGTCGAATTGTTAACCAAACACACAAGAGCGACGTAATGGTACAGTTTACGCTTCAACGCGCTCCAATGTGTCCTGTGCTGCGTTGTCCGAACGCACCGGATGGCGCAACACAAAGAGCGTGAACGGATTCGTGGGGTTGCAGAACGCCAGCTTCGTGGTTGGCGTCGCTCGCTGAAAGGCCTCGGCGCCTAATTTACGAGATGTCACGATTCGGATATGTATCAACGTTCGTATAAAGTACCTGGTACTTGGACGATCGACGGGTTCTCGAGGGCCATGACGCTAGCGTGTAGTGCCCGTGAATGGGCAAACGCTGGAGTGTAAAACGACTGAAACTCGTCAAAGCCCACGCTCAAGAACGTCCACTTGAAGCGACCGTGCCCTACGAGACCGCCACCTGGAACCGGCGCCACGACGCCTTCGTACGTGGGCCGCCCAAGCAGCGGCGTGCGGAACTGGTGGTTGGCGTAGATCGCATACAGCGGCAGCGAAAAGCTGCGAAAGTGGCGATTCGATGCATCGAGCTCGACGTAGACAAGCCGGTACGACGAGAGGAAGAGCCGCCCGCGGCTGCCGACGTAGACGCCGCCTTCGCCGGGGTACCCGCTGCCGCTGGTGACGGTAAACTTGACGTCGCTTAGCACAAAGTCAAAGCGCTCAAAAGGCGAGACAAGCATCGGCGTCCTGTCGGCGAGCAGGATCGGATCCACCGACATGGCTGCTGCGCAATGGCAACCTACATGCCATTGGATAAAATGTTGGATTTGGCGAGGTTGTGATTGGTGGAAATGTCTATCCTGTCTGGCTCGAAACACTACAGCTCCATGCGCACAGAAGGAGAGCACTGGAGTGGTCGACGACGGCTATGCCTACCTATGTGTAAAGGCGATATGCCCTCTGTCGACGAGCTATCCTGGCTTGCTGTCCTAGCAGACTAGATATGGTTGGCACCCCGAATGGCAACGATTGGACAAAATGCAAAGAATCAACGTATCGGATTGGCCAGAATTATTAACGCGGATGTGATTGGCCGATGAGACGGCAACAATATCTTGCTGCATAACGGACGGGCGCAATGTTGGCAACGGACATGGCGACCACCGAGGCAGCTCCGCCATCGCCGCAGCGGCAGCGCCGCATGAGCATGGGTGTCGGCCTTCATGGCTCATCCCAGCCCATGACCCGCGTCTTCAGCTTGAGTATGTACACATGTGCCACGCGAGGCCTTCGACGTTGAGCGCTTGTAGTGACGATGCGATCGGTGGCCGTGCTGCACGGCCTCCAAGGTGTCTTTGGCGCCAAGCCGACGGAGGCGCCGTCGCAGGCAGTGGTGCCCAAGGAGGCGACAAGTGCGCTCCCCGCCAGGGTCGAGCAAGATCTGCGCCTGCGCCGCCTGCAGGCCATGTGGCAGCTCTTCGTGCAAGGCTTCGAGGTACCGCTCCATCGTTCCACCTCCCGCGACTACAATGTCTCTTGTAGCTCATCAAGTACCCAAACAAAGGACGCCCGCGAAAGCGCATTTTGTGGCTCACACTCGACGGCAAGCTCTGTGTCGGCAAGGCCAAGTGCGCGAAGGACGCCAAGAAGTTTGTCTATCTCTGGTATCGCATCGATCCATCTCGACCGACGTCACGTCAAGCTGTGGTAGGGACATCGAGCAGTTTGCGAAGGGCTGCAACGCGCCGCAGTTTGCAGAGACGGGCTCGTGGCGCGAATCCAAAGGCCGCGAAATGCTCTCCTTTTCGATCGACGCGCGTCTGCAATGCGGCAACGTGCGCAGCTTTGCGCTGCAAGTCGCGTCCAACAAGGTGCGCAACCTCGTCTGCGAGACCGGCGACCAGCTCGTCCAAGCGCTCCGCGGAGACGCCGACGGCGAGTACCCCAAAGCCGCGCGCATCAAGATCGCAAAGCACTATGCTTGCACGGGCGAGATCCTCACGCTCTCGGAAATCCGCCTCGTCATGATGCGCGAAGGCTCCGAGCTCGGCACGCTCCTCGACGACAAGGACGTCGAGATCGTGGACGACAACGCGGATGACTCGCCATCCGACGACGAGTAGCTGGACACGAATGAATCACGGGATGGATAACGATCCACGAAAATGTTCAAGTGTCCTTCTTCGTTCTAAGGCGCTCGTGTCTGCGAAGGCGCTTCGTGGAATGAATTCACATCGAGCTGTTGATCAGTCGAGACACCTCGTGCAAGTGGAACTGGGTTTGATTCCCGGCGATCATCAGATCTGGATCGACACAACGCTGCCGAGGTGCACGGTCACTGCCTGCTCGTGCAGTCTCACCGCATCGCAATACACAGGAGCGTTGGTTCACGTTGTGCGGTGTGCCTCCTGCATGATCATTCGCCCGATCGGTGCTGGCCTTTCTTTCCTTGGATGTTTCCTCGCATCACGCTGCCTTGAGACAACAGTCATCGCATCCCACGCATGCTTTATTGCATTGCACGGTCCATGCGGTCTTCTAGGCGCTCTTGTCAAGGTATGAATCGCATGGGAAGATGACGCATCGGCAAGGGTCCGTCATCGGCGGATCGCGTAATGCTCAAAATTGCACTTTCCACGGTATCCGGCGCCGCGCTACATCCGGATTGGTTGCCCCAGCACACAAAGACGGTGGCATGAAGCTCGACACGAACGCGGACGAGTGGCTGCTCTCCGTGGCTTCGCTCCTCGCGCCCGACAGTCTCTCGGTCAACCCGAACGAGCTAGAGACGTACGACACTCTTGTCCGCGCGATATGCTGCAGGACGTGCTTAGATCGCCCAAAGAGCAACGCGAAGCCGCGGCCTTGGCCGCCAAGAAGACGCTGCCGGGTGCATCCACCGCAATACGCGATGGCCTCAAAGGCTCATGCGTTGCTTCTGTGATCTAGGCGACATCATCGTCGTGACGACCAACGGCGTCGCGTACTCGTCCGTGCGCCACGTCTGCGACCAGCCCCACGACCACGCGGTGCCCACGCGTGGCGCAACGATGTCTGACACACCAAACGTAGCTCATTGTCGTGAGCGAGACCGAAGCTCTGCACGTGGGCCCGCCCAAGGCCATTTTGATCCCACTCGAGCGCGTGCTTCTGCCCAAGCGGCAGCCGGCAATCTTCCGCGTGCCGTCCATTGGCGCGTCCCCCGAGGCCCAAGCGCTCGTGGCGGTGTGTTCTCGTCGCCATCCAACAACATCCTCATCCTCATGACGATGGCGACAACGTAGAAGTACGCTCGGCAGTTTGTCGGGACACCATACAACGTTGCACGCGTCCTGCAGCTCATCACGTCGCTCGCCACACACAACGCCGTGCGATGATACACGCATGCAGCATCCTCATGCCTCATGCAGCCGCGCATACTAGGTCAAGGTGATGCCCTTCCAGAAGCTACCGACGCCCCACGAGGCGTGGATCTGCACGGATGCGATTCTGTACGAATGTCAACAACACTTTTATTGTCTGACAAAGTTTGTAGCGCGCTTCTCGCCGCCGCATCTCCGACCTTTCAGGACCAGCTCAAGAAGGCAGCGCCTCGCCTAGGTACACCATCGTATGCTCTATCTAGACGCACAAATCTTGGATGCACGCAGAGTTTGCCAAGCTGGGGAGCGCAACGCTCAACGACATCCTGTCGCTCAAGCACCTCGGCATCACGGAGCGCGTGTACCTTCCACCGACGACGTTTACCGTGCAGCCATCGTCGCAGATGGACGTCCAAGTGTTGATCCAGTCCGCGTACACGTAATACGTTCTGATATCCATATCGAATTTCCTGATATGGTTCTCCGGTGGCGTAGGCAGTGGCAAGCGCTGCCCGATGTGGACACGCTTCAAATGTATATGGACGCCGGCATTGCGTACCTCGCGCATCGGCTGGCGCAACAAAAGCCGCGGGACTTTGAACGGCAGCTGCGGTCGCTCGGGTACATTCTCGTGCTGCTCGCTCTCTTGAAGGGCCACTCGTTCTTTCTGCTGCTTCTGCGCCGCTACCTCCAAGCCGTACGATCCACATGCGTATGTATATCGAATCGACTTCATCTCGTACCTGTGCGTAGATGCTACTCAAGCAAGTGGCGGCCCACGTGTTGCGCGCCAAACTTTAAGACACTCCAAGACGCGCATCATGGCATCAAAACGACATGGAAACGATCAAAGTATCAATCTTTCAAAAGTTAAATTTGAAGGTCGGCGCGTCCGCAGTACTACTGACGTCGGCGAGCGGCTTCTTCTTGATCGGGTGCGCGACGATGCGCTTGCCCTTGCCGTAGCGCAGCTGCATTTTCTGGACTTCCGACGAGTTGTCGTTGGCTTTTCGAAGCGTCACAAAGGTCGTCGTGCCCGACGGGTCCTTGGGCTCGGGCACGATTGGCGCCGGCGCCGGCTTCTTCTGCTTGGCCCATGCTTTGACGGGCTTCTTCTTCTTCAGCGGCTCGGGTGTCAGCTCGGCGAGCTCGGATTCGGAAAAGCCAGGCTTGTCAAAGCTAAAGAGGAACTGAAACTCGGACGACGCGGGCGGCGCATCTACGACAACCGCCGGCGCCGACGCCTTCTTCTTGGCCTTCTTCTTGGCCTTCTTCTTCTTCTTGGTACTAGCACTGGACGGCGCGCTCGTGTCGGCGACCGTGACCGCCTCGAGCTGCGTTGCCACGTCGGCAACGGTCGTCGTCGCCGCCTTTGTCGTAGCCACCTTCGCCGCCTTTGACGGCTTCTTGGGCGCCGCCTCTGCGGGCGCCGGCGCGTCTGTCTGGAACGAGAACTGGAAGCTCGTCGGCGGCGCCGGCGACGTCTTCTTGAAGTGGTCGGCGAGCTTGGCGGTCGCCATCGAGTTGCGCTCGAAATGGAGTTGGCCACCAATTGGGGCCAGCGTGATGTGATCCGGATAATTGACACAATCCGGAAGATTGCCATGACTGGCATCGCACCTTGCAACCAGGACAGCGATTGCGTGGTCGACGCCGTCGGGACGTAAGCTGACTAATGGAGACGAATGGAAAGAGCATACGAGCTCACAATGCTGACACTGGACGCATCCTCCTGCATGGGCGTCGATGACGTACTCTCGGTGCGCCTGGTCCTCGTTGCTCGCTCTAGCCCAATGCATATGAGTCCATGCGCCGAGCATGGCCACTGCGCAGGTATGCGACGTGTAGTCGACTGCAGTGTGACAACCTCGCATACATGGAGCATGGGCAAATCGACATCGCGTCGGCGTTGCACGAGGTCCGCATGATCCCGCGCTCGTCGGCGCGCGGCCTCTCGTCGGCGCCGTCATGGCAAGAGTCCAGAAAGAGGTCACTGCCCACACGTGGCACCGCCATCGCGCAGCGATCGGTCGGCCTTTGGAGCACGCCACCACTGCACCTGGCACTGCACCGTTAGTTCGTGTGCGAAACTGGTACTTCCTTCTTTACGCTCCCTTTCCCTTTGGTATAAAGGTATAGATCGACACAGGCTAATCTAACGCAACCAAAGACTACATGTTGACGACAACAGACACGTCGCAAGGCCTAATATTGCGTTATTTTAGCCATAGGAAATCGAGTCGCATTTCGGCCTGCAGCCAAGGACTTTCCCGCGCCATCGCTCGGAGGTTCCATTTCCGCCGTAGCACGCCCGAGGTACAACCGCAGCATGGCATGGCGCATTGGGCACATCATGGCCTGCGTAGACGACATGTGGTGGTATGGCTTCTGCGCTGCATGGGGCTGCTGCGCAAGCCTGAGCTTCAAGGAGCAAGCGGTCTCCGTGTACGACCTCACCGAGCTCATTAGCGCGAGCCGCAAGAACAGTACGCGTCGCCTACGTACGTGTGCGCTCATGGCAGCCTACTAGGCAAGTACAGTCACCAAGTGTACCGCGCGACGCACCGCGGCACGGGCGAGATCGTTGCGCTCAAGGTCATGGACCGCGGGACGCTCGCCCACCCGACGCAGCGGCGCAACATTCGCCGCGAGATCCACCTCATGTCCAAGCTGCACCACCCGAACCTCGTGCATCTCTTTGGCGTGTACGAGTCGACCAACACGGTAGACAGCTGTGGCCCTCCAAGCATCGTCCTACCAATCATGCCGCAGGTCGAGATCGCGTTCGAGCTCTCCAAAGGCGGCGAGGTCATGCGCCGAGTCCTCGAGCCACACGCCTCGATCTTCTCGCTCACGGTACAACGATCAATGAGATGCTGTCGTGAATTCAGCGTCCACTGATCGACTTCTGTTTTAGGAGGCGGAGCTCAGCCGCGCGGTGGCCGACATTGTCCAAGGCCTCGTTCACTTGCACGAGCGCGGCTGGATACACGGCGACATTCGGCCCGAGCACATGCTTTTTAGCGAGCTCGATCCGGACTCCAAGGTTGCGCCTCCTGCGGGCTGCTTTGGCGCGTACTAGTAGGCGCTGCTGGTCGATTTCGGTCGCGCAGGCCCGAGCACGGTCTTTAGCCAATGTACCGAGTTAGGCACGCTTCCCTTTGCTCATGGCGTACTAGGCAGCAAGAAGCTGCTTCGACAGCTCCAAGAAGCCCGCTTTTTCCCGCCGTTTATCCTCGTACAAAATGCACTGACGTTGTCGACGTTCCAACACGCGGTCCAAGTCGATCTCTGGGCGCTCGGCGTCTCGCTGTATGTCTTCAGCACTCTCCGAGGCCTCATGCAAATGTAGCTACATTATGCTCTTCGCGGCGTTTCCATTTCCCGGCGACTCGATCCAGGCCGTCATGGACTCCGTGCTGCACAAGCCGCTGCAGTTCCCAGCGGGCCACGCCCACATTAGCCGCGCGGCCAAAGATCTCGTGGCGCGCCTCCTGTCGCTGGATCCGAACGACTGGATGACGTACGTGTCTTGGCGATCGACGCTGCTTGAACGCTAGTGTAGTGCCGACGACGTGGCCCAGCATCCGTGGCTCGCGAATCCGGCGGTCTCTGCATACCGGCGTTCGATTTCATCACCGACGACGTGTAGGTCGCGCCCAACGTGCGCTGGTCGCATGACGTGGTGTCGCAACACGCGGACTGGGTCCTCTACTACAGCCAATTGCGCACCGGCATCGAGACGCCGGTAGGATCGATGTCGTCGTCGTCGTCGTCGTCGTCGTCTTGGGCATCTAAAAATATGACGCGACATCGGTGTAGGAGTCGACGACGGCCACAAGTCCGCGCCCAAACGTCGAGTACGAAGGTCGGTCGTCGTGCATCTCGACCGACGGCGTCTTGGTGCTCGAGAGCAACTCAGAGGTGCGACGTCGCATTATCGATCGAGCGCAGACATCAGATGATGTCTCTAGATGAGTGCCGATGCGTACATGCAGCAAGCCGACTGGGAAATGTCCGACATTCTGCGCATGTCGTGCGAACAAGAGCTCAGTCAGAGTCCGTTTGGGACGTGGAAAGCGGAAGCGTCGCCGCAGGTATGTTCTCTCTTTTTCAGTGTTAAAAACGAGTGCTGACCTCGTCTCGGTGACTATGAACTAGCACGTCAAGGGCTGGCGGCTCATGTGGAATCGAGCGCTGCCGCCACCGTCCAAAGGCGATGTCCCGACGCCCGACGCGACGCTGCATCAACTCTAATATTGGACATTCAATATTTTCGCACACATCACATTGTCCCTAGCCTAACTGCTACTGTACTCCACACAGCTCTATCGGCGGACGGCGTGGGCGTCACAGAGGAAGTTTTGCCGCTTGTACGCCCGCCGGTCGCAGCCCGTCTCGTGGCAGCGGTGGCCACCGCCGTGGGTCCAGCACAAGCCGCCTTTGGCTGCGAGCTTGGGGCAGTCGGGCTGCCGGCACGGTGCACCTACCAACCATATGTTAGCGACGCGGCGTGCATTATAGTAAGAGTACCGCCGCCGTGGGCCCAGCAGACGCCGTGGCGCTTCGCTTTGCTCGTGCATCCTGCAATGTGGCAGAGCACGTAGCCGCCTACAAGACATCGTGAAGTGACCAGAGCGACGCGTCGCGCTGGGCGTACCGTGGAGGTAGCACCGGTTGTGGCGCTTGGTGCGCTTCGTGCATCCTGGCTCGGAGCAGCGGGTGCCGCCCTAAGGTACCTCGATCGTGAGTGCCACGCCACGAAAGTACTCGGTTCGTACGCCGTGGCGAACGCAGAGCGACTTGCTCACGGCCGCCGTCGTGCAGCCGTCAACCGAGCACCGGTTGCGCTGGACCGAGAGCGGCTTGGTCCAATGGACGTGCTTGAACTCTTCATCGATGAGCGCCTGGACAGAGTCGTGGATTGCCGCGTCGTCCCGTGCACAAAAGGTCGTTGGCGTCGGGTACGGGTTGAGGAGGAACCCGATACTGTTCTTCAGTTGCGCTGTACTCATCCTTGTGCGAAGTGATGATCGGAATCTGGATCTGGGAAGCCCTGAAAGTGCGTGTTTCGAACGTAATCGCGGGACGACCCGATAACGTACTCTCTGGACAGTAGCGCCGAAACGGCGGTCCCACCTTTGCCAAGAGCTAAATTCAGAGGCAGAGAAGTGCAGCCACGTGGGTGTCCATGTTGTCGTCCAAGGTATCGTCATAGCGGCAACAGCATCTCGATGGGAGGCGCATAAATGCGCGCACGTCGTCGCACGAAGCGACCGCGCTCTGGGCATCGGATCGTGCAAGGAAGCCGCAGCTGCGGTTATTAATACGGCATAGCCGCCAAGGGCAAGATCGCGCCGTTTCGATATCAAAACAAAGAGGTTTTGACCCGCCGACCAAGTAGAGCGATCGAGTGATAGCCGAGCCTGTTTGCTCACCCTCTCGTCCACGCGCAGGATTATTCCATCGCGTTCGAACGCGCTGCGTATGCATGGGTCCTTCGTTGCACACATGTCGGCAGCGATTTTCGGTGCAAAGCAAATTCCACGGTGCGGCACGGCGGGACGACCGCGTGGCAACCAATCACGGAGGCACTGACATGACGTGAGGGCAGTGCCACCGATCCCGTCACCGAGAAGGGTTCTACTGGGTTCAAATTTGATATTCCAATGTCGCCAGTCCAAGTCAACAACTGAATGCTCCGGGTGCTGAGTTGAGCTGCTGGTGGGTACGGTGGTATCCTCCGCCTGACCTTCGGCAGAGAAATGCACCGCATTTGGAAGCTTCTTCGGGCCAGAGGGATTCGTATGAAGCGCATTATTTTCAGCGGTTGCCGTTTCTGTACTCATCAATATCCTGCCCATCGGTCGGCGGCTTCTCCGCGGCCAGGCCAACCGTCGGTGCGTTGCGGCGGTTGCCGCGCCGGCCAATCGACGACGCGCGTTCTGCCATAATGATGTTGAAAAAGCGGCAGCATAAATAGCAAGCTCGGCTATGTAGCTTTTCGTGGTACGTGGAACGTTGGTGGTACTACGAGCCTGCAGGAGGATTCATTCAGCGTCTTGTGTCTCAATCCGGCCAACCGATTGGCTATAATTCGGGCCATCTTGACCAATGATGCGCAGTAGCATTGGTCGAAGCCAATCATATCGCGCCCAACATGCCCCATAAAGTGCGATTCTAGAGTTTCGCTCAAGTGCTATTACGTTATTGACACTATTCTTGGTATTTCTCAGCAGTAAGTACGACGCACCTACAAGAGCACATGACGCACATAAGGCGTTTCCGCACCTAATCGCACTGAATTGCAGAAGGAGCAAGCGCTGTTGTCGCAGATGCCACGAGTCATCGCATCGCATTTATGTCCGATAACGTTATACAAGTTCCTGCCAGCGCACTCCCCCACACGGGACCTGTTAAAAGCTCAAAAGGTCGGGATGCCCGTGCACGTGCGCATGAGGTCGCGCGTGAGAAGCCCTTCGACGTCGTGCCGGTCGGTCTACCAAATGCAATTTGAGGCGCCGCTGTGGCCACGACGCACGCTACCTCGTCTTCCCAGCGCTGCGTCTTGCCGTTGTAAATGTACGTGCGCAGGCCCGAGATCTACCGCCCGTACGCATGGTGAGCCAACGTACAGCAGGTTGCGCGTAGTACTGGCGACGTAAACTCGATCGTTTGTGGCTTGGCGAGCACAGCGATCTCGAATTCGTGGGTCGCCGTCTGGAGCACGAGCTTGGCTAGCATCGCATGTGAGTGGATGTGGATGGCGGCCATTGGCCTACGCGGCGTCGCTGTGCGCTGCACGACAAAGGTCTCATTGACGGGTGGCAGGAGCGGCGCGACCGCTGCCTCGACCTTGTCCAGGAACGCCAGCGAGAGCGACTTGAACCTACATAGAGAGGCTTACCGCTGGCTTGTGGTCCATGGTCAACGTAGTACTTGTCTGGCGTCAGCGTCTTCTTGTGCTGCTTGAGCGCGACGGACGGGATCGCCTTGGCGTGGAGGCCACGAGCTCCGTGGAAGCCCAGCCGCATCATCATCGTCATCCCTGCAAATGGAAACATGTACCCTCTATTGTCAACCCAAAGAATTGATCCATTATTAAAAATAGCATACAAAACGCAAGCGCAAGACATTAAATAAAATACGGAGATCTTCGCTTACATACATCAAGTGAACGAGGCTAGGCAGGGAATCAACCTAGGCATGAAATAGTGTCAATTCCAAGCGTGGACACCCTACCAGGTACGCTATCCGACGCGATGCAGCATTGTGCCTGACCCACGCTGCAGCTCTCAGCACACACTGCGATTGAATATGTATGCCAACACATCGGCATAGCAGACGACTCACAACCTCCTTGCTAATACCGGTAGTGCATTGACGTTGATCTTCTACATTACACTATATTTAACCAATTGCCATCAAGCACACTAATTGAAACCGCGCGATTGGTGACTCACAAGTTGACATTTCAAAGAGATGGTCGACGCCAAGCCCGAGACGCCAGCCACGTCGTACTTGTCCAAGGACACCAAGCACCTCCTGAGCGGCGGCGGTACGACCTTTTTCATGCGTTTATCTTTCCCATACAAAGTGCAATCTAGTTGCTGGCTGCATGTCCCGGACGGCGGTCGCGCCGCTCGAGCGCCTCAAGATTCTGTACCAAGTGCAGGACATGCTCAAGACGTCGTCGGCCGAGCCCAAGCAGTATGGCAGCATGCTCCAGTCGCTGCGCAAGATCATGGCTGAAGAAGGTTGGCGAGGCATGTTCAAGGGCAACGGCGCCAACTGCGTCCGAGTCTTCCCTTATGCCGCGATTCAGTTTGCCATGTACTGCTATGCTTGTCCTTCTCGAATGCAATGCGGTGCATATCGCTGATGCAACATTTTGCTTGTAGGTTTGAAAAGCTGCGTCCGATCCTGGTCTCGGACGGCGCCAAGGACCTCACGTCCCTGCAAAAGCTGCTCGCGGGCTCGATCGCCGGCGTCGCGTCCGTCATCGTCACATACCCGCTCGACTTTATCCGCGCGCGCATGACCGTTCCCGACGCGATGACCAAGCAGCAGTACCACGGCATTTGGCGTACGTCTCCGTGTGATGATGATGGTTGATGGCCGTCTAGATGCACTGAAAGTGACCGTGCAGCACGAGGGCGTCACGGGGCTCTACCGAGGCATGAGCCCGACGGTCGTCGGCATTGCGCCGTACGTCGGCCTCAACTTTATGGTGTTTGAGAGCCTCCGCGCGTCAGCGCCGCTGGACGCAAGCGGTCGCCCAGATATGCTGTACCTCCTCGGCTGCGGCGCAGTCGCGGGTGCGTGCGGGCAGTCGGCCGCATACCCGTTTGACCTTATGCGGCGTCGGTTCCAAATGACGGCGTTGAGCGACAAGGTAGATCAATGTGTCATCGTTTGGGTTGATATATTGATACTGATCCGAAACGCGGGTAGCAATACAATGGGACGATGGATGCAGTCACGACGATTTACCGCCACGAAGGCATTCGCGGCTTTTACAAGGGCCTGATTCCCAACTCGGTCAAGGTCATCCCGTCGATTGCAGTCATGTTTGTGACCAACGAAGCCATGAAGCGCTGGATTATGTGACTGAAAAACGAGTATACGGTGCTAACGCTTGAAGAGGCGGGGGAGACCCCACGTCGACGTTGGGTCGCGCTGGAAGCGCTTCTCGGCGGCCAGTTTCTTGAATCGTTTGTCGATGGTTTTCTCTACACGTGGACAACATTGTCCTATGCATGCAAGACAGATTGATGGATTGATACTCTGCACGTTGGTGATGAGGTTGGTGATCTTCGTCTTGCGGAGGTTGGTCACGAGGCATTTTCGATGCAGCGCAACACCCATGAGCTTGTCCATCGCCGACGGGTACCGCGTGAGACCCTACATGGGTCCAATGGATAATTGAACATAGTGAAGTGCAAAAAAATGACATACCGTCTGCAGATGCTTGTACTCGAGACCGTGGAGCTCACAGTAGATTTTGGCACGGACGCTCGCCGTGCGCTTTCCTTTCTGCTCCTCGAGCAGCAGCGCCATCTCGCCAAAGTGGTCGCCGTCGAATAAAAACGCAATTTCAATGTCGTCAGCTTCCTCGCCATCCTAGCACCAATTTTTGTTTAAGCTTTGCAGGAATAATATAGCATCCACGAACTGGTGTGTGCGTTGGCTCAAACACTTGAAGAACGCCACGCGCCACGATGAACATCTCACTGCCATACTCGCCCATCTAGGCGGCCTCTATCCCTTATCAAAAACTCACTGTCGTCGTACCTTGAGGACGGTCGAGTGGGGCGAGAGGAAGAGTGGCTTCAAGTAGACTGCAATGTAGGCCGTAAAGCCCTTGGGTACATCTACATCAGCATATAAGTAAGAATCGCGTGCGGGTCAAATGAGGAAATGGGGGTAGGGTACCTTGGAAGAACGTGATGTTTTTGATCGTCATGCGAATGTAGTGGTCGGTGATTTCTTCGCGCAGCGAGGACGAGAGGTCTTCGAGGATGCGGCTTTCGTCGTAGACGGTCTTGCGCTGTAAAAGTACCGGTAATACCTAGGAACCGGACTTGCTTGCTTGTCAAGCATTACTTAATAGCGGTACCGTCGCGTGCGGAGTTGCAGCGGCCCAGGGAGGCCACGCGACTCCATGTACGCATTGAGCTCATTGAGGCGTTCGAAATACCGATTTCTGGTCACGTTCATCGACGCGACGCTCGACGAGACGCTCGCAATCATAAAGGCGTAGGTACCTACAGGACAATTTGTGTTTTGAATCGCACAATGTATGATACTGAGTAGTACCCGCCGACACCACCATGCCGACAATCGTAAACATGCGCTCCGTCTACGCAAGTATCATCATTTCGATCCTAGGGCTAGGGCGTGCGTACGATGGTCACGGGTACAAAGTCGCCAAAGCCCACGGTCGCCATCATTGTAAAGGCAAAGTAGAGCGACGAAATGTACATGTCGAGCTTGGAGTAGGTTGTCTGCCAAATGCTAGACAAAATCAAGTCCAAGACTTGAGCAAATGTACAGAGAGGAGGACGTACTGTTTCGCAAAGGTGGCGTACGCAATCCAAGACGTGGACGGATCGTGGGCCGCCATGCCGGTCGCATAGTCGCCGTTCATGGTCGTCCCGATAAAGTAAAAGCCACAGGCCGTAAAGTGCGCGACGAATAAAATGCACAAGAGTAGCTTCGAGACCACAATGTAGTTGCGGTTGATGTTCAACTTGTCTTCGCAAAATTCCACAAATCGTTGCACCTAATTTTTCAAAATTTAGAGTTCATGGGCACGGAAAAGTAGAAAAATCGTGTGTACCTTGAGCACTCGAAGCACTTTGGCGATGCGCGTGAGGCGAAGCACGCGCAAGAGCCGCGGCAGCTGCGTCGCATGTGTTTCCGCGGCCCAGAGCGCACGAACCACCGTGTCCCAAGGGAACGTCGCAAACAAATCAAAGCCGAACCAGCCACGGACGTACATGCAGGCTATCTTGCGCGGACTCGACACGACGTCGCCCGTCTTGGAATCAATGTAAGCCGAGCTACACCATTGTTATCATGAATCCATCCATGTGAACTGTCTACCGAAACACAATGATAATGTCCAATGCGTACAACATGTCGGTGATGTTGTCGGCAATCACCCACTGACTCACTTGATAGTCCTACAAGCTACATCCGCAAGAGGTGAATGCAATGCGAAAGCGTACCGCGACCGAGTAAAAGCTCGAGACGTACGGCACGACGGTGCACACGTAGGCGAGCAAGACGAGGTTGACAGCATCCCATACGACGCGGAACCGGTGGCTGGGGTACAAGATCCAACGCTCGCTGTCCTTGAAGCCGACGTCGCAGCCCTCGTCCAACGATGGACCTCCGTCGTCGCTCGCATCTTGGTTGGTCGGGAGGACCTTGGAGCTCCGGCGCTGGCTCGGCGTGTACTGCTTGCTTCGCATCAAGTGCCTTGGCAGTCTCAGGGATCTACCCTAGCCCCGTTGCTATCATTCCGTAAACGCTGTGTTGGAGCAATATAGCGATACAACAGCACATATGGTATTGGATCGCTCGGCGTATATTAGTAGCCAATAAGGTGGCTGGTTGACTCCTGCGAGTTGCCTGCGAACCGCGCTTTTATTGAGTAGTGACGTTGCGAGCGCCCCGTTGGGCTCTCCTTGGGTCGTTCTAATAATCAGCATATTGGCCATTGCATTTCGGAGAGAGGTATGTGTGAGTCGGTACGTACTGGGGGAGCTGGCGAGGAGGGTCGAGATCTTGGTCGATCGAAGATTCGTGAGCAAAATTTTGCGCCGCAGGGCATCCCGCATGAGCTTGTCCATCGCGGACGGGTATCGCGCGAGGCCCTATCGCCATTTTCAGTTCCCAACTTTTAGAATTGAAAAACAAATTGTACGGTTTGCAGCTTCTTGTAGTCGAGCGCATGCAGCTCACAGTAGATTTTGGCGCGGACACTGGCGGACCGTAGATTCTGTTGCTCTTCGAGCAGCAGCGCCATTTCCCCAAAATGATCGCCGTCCGATATGAGAGAAATCTCAATGTCGCCGGCGGACGACCCGTCCTACGCCGCGTGAGCAGCTCTCGTATGAGACATGACAAGTTACCTTGGCCACAATGGGCTCGTAGACTTGGAGAATGCCACGGGCGACAATGAACATTTCACTTGCATCGTCGCCCATCTGCAGCATCATTCAACGACGAGCTCGTGGATGCAAGTCGTACCTTGAGCGCAATCGAGTGTGGCGGCAAGAAGAGCGGTTTGAGGTGGATCGCGACAAAAGCGGTAAAGCCTTTGGGGACATCTAAACAAAATGTTGGGTGTTTTTCATTGTGTAATAAGGTTGTACCGTGGAAAAACGCAATGTTTTTGATCGTCATGTGAATGTAGTGCTCGGTGATTTCTTCGCGTAGCGTCGTCGAGAGGTCGCTGAGGATCCGGCTTTCGTCGTACACAGTCTTGTGCTGGAGAAAATAGCGGTAATACCTTGTGCAAGATTAAATTCCGGAATATGTTGCGCGAGCGTACCGCCTTGTCCGCAGGACGAGTGGCGCGGGCAGCTCCCGGGACTCCATGTACGCATTGAGCTCATTGAGGCGTTCGAAATAGCGATTTTTGGTCACGTTCATCGACGCGACGCTCGACGAGACGCTCGCAATCATAAACGCGTAGGTACCTACGGGACAATTTGTGTTTTGAATCGCACAATGTACGAGTACCGGCCGAGAGGACCATGCCAAACATGGTGTAAATGCGTTCATTCTACACGTTTGGTTGAGAGAAAATGACCATTCAATGCAATTCACCGACGATGGTAATCGGGGTAAAGTCGCCAAACCCGACCGTCGCCATCATCGTAAAGGCAAAATAGAGCGTCGACGTGTACATTTCGGGCTTGGAATACGACAATTTCCAGATCCTAATCACCACAACCATTCGTGCATTTCGGTAATATACGGTAGCAGGATACTTTTTGGTGAACGTAGCGTACGCGATCCAGGACGAGGTCGGGTCGCCGCTGAGGAGCCCGGCCGCATATTGCTCGTTGGCGGTGGTTCCGAGCGCGTAAAAGCCGCAGGCTGTAAAGTGGGCCACGAGCACGATGGTCAGCAGTAATTTGGAGACCACAATGTAGTTGCGGTTGATATTGAACTGGTCCTCGCAAAAGTCAATGAGCGATTGGATCTACAGTAGCTCCGTAAGTCTATGATGGTACACGATCCAAGGGTACCCGGAGCACGCGCAGCACTTTGGCGATGCGGACAAGGCGAAAGACGCGAAGGATGCGCGGGAACTGTGCTGCACGGGACTGCGTCGCGTCCAATTGATGAAAGAGCGTATCCCACGGCAGCGTCGTGCACACGTCAAAGGCAAACCACCCGCGTAGATACCGCGTGGCAATCCGTCGGGGTCCGCGACCACGTCACCAGACTTGGGGTCCATGTACGCGGTTCTAACCACACAGTATCGTGATAAAGTGCGCACCAACGCCTCAGTATCACCGAAAGCGAATGAGAATGTCGAGGCCGTAGAGCGCATCCGAGATCGCGTCGAAGAGGACCCAGTCGCTGGCTTGGTACTCCTATCCCGAAAATGAGAAGCAAGTAGGTGTGTAGGTGTGCAGTGTACCGCGAGCGAGTAAAAGCTGGAGACGTACGGCACGCAGGCACAGACATACGCCACGAGTGCGAGGTTCACAGCACTCCACAGTGTATGAAAAAGGCTGTGGGGGTAGATGACGCCAAAGACCGTTGTATCGCGGCGGGTTGCGCCGCATAGCCGTCGCCAGCGGGGTCGAGTTGGGGATGTCGGAGTAGCATTGCTCGGGTGGACCTTTCCAGCGCCCATCTCGCGTTTGGCGCTTCGTGGCTTTGCTACGGAAATAGATGATCCACCATACAGCGAGGCTAAATTTATAGACCTTGGTTCGTAATACTAAGGGCATAAATGATGTTATGCCCTTGAAAATACGCAGGTTTCAAACTCATGTTGAGTGCAGTCGTTCTCGGTCTTATGTATGTCTCTCCATGATTCACGGTTGTGCCATGCGCACTTGACACGACTCAATCACCGAGCGTACAAAGTTGATCCTGGTCCTGGTACGCTATATGTCGAAATCAATTCGATTCAGAAGCACGACGTGGATGGCGAGCCTTCGCGGCCTCCTCGCTACAGCGTAGAAATGGCGCTGCCCATGTTGCGTCATGATGGGTGTGATCTGAACGAGCCGCCTCGTGCTGTGATTGGTCCGCATAAAAATAGAATCCAGATGTAGCCAATCAAAGTACACCTTTTTTCGATGCCCCATTCCAGTGCGAGGAATGACATGCGGCAGCAATCAACCGAGGGTCCTTGACCACCGGTACAGCGATGGACATGATGACACGCACTGCGCATCTTAAGCCATAGTTGCAGTACGTACATGTGTTACCTGGCAGCGAGCGGACTAAGCTCTGCAGGCTCTCGCCCTACCATCTCGAGGGTCGTTTCGATGTAACGTCAGTTGTTCAAGGCATGCTTGGTGGGGTCTGTCGCGCCGTCGCCTACGCCCTCGCGGCAACAACGCTGGTGTTAGCTCGAGTCGATGCATGTGTTTCGGAGAGTGGCTACTACCAGCTTATGCCATCTGATATACCGGCGGTGGATCCGTGTTTAAACCTCGTACCGTGCCCAACGGGCAGCTATTGCAGGTTTGATCCCATGTCCTTGCATTGTACTTGACGGCGCTTAGAAACAATCGCTTGGCGCCGTGTCCCGCGGGCTTTTTCGGAAACGTGACGGGGCTCCGTACACCGCAGTGCTCTGGCCTCTGCCCCGCCGGATTCTATTGTCCCCGCGGAACGTACGTCTCCAATCCCACGCCGTGTTTTCATGGTCTAGTGGTTCAGTGCCGAGCCCATTGTTTGTGGCGGACCCCATCTCTTTTGCACCGTCGGGGCTGCAGCACCGTCGCCCGTTCCCCCCGGCTACTATGCGCTTGGAATCGATGCTACTAGACGGTACCACCGCTCGATGTCTCTTACTAGGCCTGCATTCGTGTAGGGAGTCGGTCGTTCTCTGCGAAGCAGGCTTCTACTGCGTCAACGGGCAGCGCATGTCGTGCGCCGAGGGGACCTTTGGGATGACAAGCGGGCTCGCGTTGCATCTTGCTCGGACGTGTGTCCCCCAGGCAGCTACTGCCCACTTGGCTCGAGTACACCCCTTCCATGCCCTCCTGGTACCAACTCCGTATATCCAATCCAAACTTTGCTATTGTACAAGTGTGTAGGAACGTATGGTGTCACTCACAGCTTGTCGACGCCTGCTTGCTCGGGCACATGTCCTGAAGGCTTCTACTGCCCCGCAGGCACCATAAGCCCGGTGGCCTGCCCCAATGGCGCCATGTGCCCCATGGGCAGTGCGTCACCACGTGTCGTGCCGCCAGGAATGTACCTCGTCCCAGCGCAAGACCCGACGACGCTAAGCGTCACCATGCTGGTTACGCGCTGCCCTCCAGGCTCGTACTGTGTGTATGGTACGCCGTTTGGTGGTATCCAAATGAGTCTCAAGGCTGTGCTCCGCGCAGGACAAGCCTTTCCATGCCCTGTCGGTCGATTTGGGGCCACGGAGGGACTCAACTCGAGCCGATGCTCGGATGCGTGTCCATCTGGCTCGCTCTGCGTCGCGGGCACCGTCGCGCCGGTAATCGATATGTTGTCGTTGCTGCAGTGCGCTCATAGGTGCATGATGCAGATGCCCTGCAGCGACCCGGCCTCGTTTTGTCCCGCCGAGAGCTACGCGCTGCACCATGTTGGCGTTGGCAACTACTCGATTCCGCTCGACTCCCAATACCACAACGACCAAGCCGTGTGTGAACCGGGGCACTACTGCATCGACGGCGTTCGATCGCCGTGTCCGGCGGGTACCTTTGGCAGTGCGTTTGGCTTGACAACACCAGCTTGCAGGTGCGGTGCGCGGGACGCGACCTATCTCATCTCTTTCTAGTGGGCAGTGTGCACCGGGGTACCACTGTCCACAGGGAAGTCTGCTCGCGACCGCCAACGAGTGCGGCAGCCCACACACGTACTGTCCGGAAGGCTCGCCGCACCCCCAGTGTATGTTCCTATACATTGGCCTGCTATGAGAAATGTCCATAGTTATAGCCAGCGGCTACTGCGGCGTGGGAACGTCAGCAACGACGCAGGCGGCGCAAGCACTTGCACCACCGGGCTCGTTTGCGTTGGAAGGTCAATGCTACTCGTGTCCCGGCGGTTCCTATGGCACCGATCCCGGCAGCATCTCACCGACGTGTTCGGGCGTCTGTGCACCGGGGTACTACTGCCCTCCAGGAAGCACGTCGCCGTTCCAAGTGACGTGTGGGCTCGGAGCCTACTGCCCCACCGGCTCGGCGTCACCACTATCGGTCACCCGCGGTTTCTATTCGGTATCTGTTGGACTACAAGGCCGACGTCACTTGACTTCAAATGGTCTAGTACATTGCGACAACCGATGCGTGTGGTCCCGGGCTCTATCGCAGCGCGTCGACGTCGCTGGCCGCGCTCTTGCTCGCTGGTTGGTCGGCCATTGCCGTCGACTATGGTGACGCGCTGTTTCCTTATGCGCCGTACAATCATGATGCGTCGAGATGCGACACTCAAAGGTCCCTGCAGGTGTGTGCCGTGCCCGCTGGGGACCTTCAAGCCAGACCAAGGCGACGACCAGAGTCTTTGCCTCGCGTGCCCGCTGTTTACGTCGACAAGGTACACGCAAATGCGACCAAGGGATCTCACGCAATGTGTAGCTCGATCGATCGCACCACGTGCACGTGCTATCGCGTCTCGGGGGGCGCGGCGTGGGATGCGACGACGACCGCCTTGTACTTTGATGGTGTCGACTGCATCGATCTCCCCGTGTCCACCCAAGTACTTTGCGGATGCTATCAGAAAAAAGTGCCAAAGCGGTGTAGATGGTGTCGCTTCTGGCGCCCAATTCGTCGTGGACCAAGGACCGAGAAGCCGCTTGCGAGCCAGGTTATTACTGCGTCCAGGGTGCGCGGGAGCCCTGTCCTGCTGGCCGGTGCAGCCATACCAATACTCTCTCATCCCGTTTCACGGCGTTGAAATAGGTATGGCACGTCGTGGAAGGAAACCAACCCGCTGTGCACGGATGCGTGTCGACGGGGACACTACTGCCCGGTGGCCAGCGCCCACGATGCCATGGTGCGTCGTCTTGGTGACCGAGGAATCGACAACGTACAGAGCTAGAAACCATGCGGGGCCCCGTACTTGTACTGCCCCTCGGGCTCGCCGTACCCTGTCGCTGTCACGGCAGGCTACTACTCGCTCGACTCGATCTCGGGTACCTTCGGTAGTTGAGAGGAGCCTTACTAAGTGCACTCAGGGCTCTTCTCCGACCTCACGCGCCGCGACGCTCAAGCACCATGTGAGCCGGGGGCGTTTTGTAAGTACGGACTTCAATACCCGTGCCCGGGCGGGCGCTACGGCAGCGCGGCCCAAGAGACCTCGTCCCTGGTACGCGCATCTCGATTCGACTCGGCTAAAGACATTCTGGCACCGTGCAGTGTACGGGTCTCTGCCAGCGAGGCTTCTACTGTCCTCCGGGCAGCACGCGCCCGACACAGGTGGGTGATGCACCTCGTTTCTTATTGAACGATATAATAAGAAATTAAACTAGGTAGCGTGCGGAAACGCTTCTGTCATCTGCCGCCGGGGATCGGCGGTACCCGAGCCCGTTGCGGTGGGCTACTACTCGGGTGGTGACACGTCCCCGTACGTTGAAGGAACTTGGTTTTCGGGGGCTACAGAGAGGCGTAGAACGGAAGCGCTGGATCGCGACAGCATGCGTTGGTACCAGCTTCCTTGCCCCTTGGGGTCCTATTGCGTCGACGGGACATCGTTTCCATGCCCCGGCGGCACGTATGGAGGTGTCACACAACTTACTCGGCCCACGTGCTCTGGCCTCTGTGCGCCGGGGTACTACTGTCCGCCAGGCAGCGTCGCCTCTCAAGCTTTCTCGTGCGGTAACGTGAGCGTCTACTGTCCTCCGGGGTCAACACAGCCCCTCGCCGTATCGGTGGGGTATTACACCACGGGGGGCACCAACAGTACACGGTAGGCGGATCGAACAGCACGCAATGTACGTTTTGAACGTTTGTTAGGTCGGGCCAAGCGCTCTGTCCGATCGGGTCGTTTTGCCAGCATGGTGTGCTCTACCAGTGCCCCTCTGGGACCTACGGCAGCACGACGGGTACAATGGAATACGACGACCGCAGTCATGATTGGATATATGTAGGGTTGACCGTCGAGACGTGCAGCGGCTGGTGCCGTGCAGGCTACTTTTGTCCCCCCGGCACCGTCTCGGCGACCGCCAACGCGTACTACGCTATCTCGTCCTTGGCCAGAGTATTCTATTTGCGTATAGCTGCGGACCGTCGTCGTACTCGATCGACGGCCAAGGCGACTGCATGGCGTGTCCGTCGGCCCGACCTGCCATGCCATGTCAAAACCGTCGCGCGTGTTGCCAGTAGCTAGCCCTATTCACTCTCTATTTCATCATGACCGTACTGGATTGTCCCAGTTTGCACTTTCCACACCTAACCCTAACCTAACCCGTACTGCCATCGGCACACACGCGCTCCACAACGAGAAGACACTTATGTTTTGAAGCAAATGTTACCGGTCGCTTCCGGTCATATCAATGTCTATATCGCGTGGTGGTGTCTCGCAGCGTCTGTCGACGTAGCGAACAGAGGCGCCAAGACGCCGAGGGCTTCCAGCGCGGCAACACGATGCGGTGGCCACGTCGCGCGGACGCGGTCGGCCTTGCGCGTGTTCATGAGCGCGTTGGTGAGGTGGAGGTCCCACGTGATTTCTGGCCACCGCACGTTCTTGGCGGGTACTACAAACTGTGGCGGGACGCGCAGGTGGCCGTGCAATTCCTTGAAGGTCGTGAGGGCTTGGAGCACGCGCTCTTGCCGCCACTCGACCATGTCCCACACAAACCCCAGCGCATCGAGTCGATGGATCATGTCGTCGGTCATCGTCTTCTTGTGCCGGCGCCAGTCCTTGACGACCGTGCCGAGCGGGAGACCGCGGACTTCGACGGGCCACGCACTTTCAAGCGTGTCGTGCGGCACAACAAACTGCTGCGGTACGCGCGGGTGGCCATACACGCGAATGAACGCTTTTAACGCGGCGAGCTTGCGCGCGGAGAGAAAATCCAGCACGCTCCACACAAAGCCCTCGTCTTCGAGCGCCTGAATCTGGTCCTGGCTGAGCGACGAGCGGGTCGTCCGGAGCGTGTTGACGAGGTTCCCGAGACGGAGGCCGATGAGGTCGGGCGACCACGCTGTGGTGTTGGGTGGGATCACAAACGAGTGTGGCACGAGGAGGTGGCCGTAGTTTGCAGCAAACTCCTTGATCGCACGCAGCTGGAGACCCCAGCGCGGACCAATGTACGTAAATTGCATCTCGCGCACGAGCGGCTCAAGGACCGCCAAGGGCGGCGACGGGTCGTACCGAAGCGACTGGAGGTGGCGCCCCAGCGCGAGCGACTGGACGTACGGCGGGTACGGCGCTTCGGCGGGCGTGCGATACGTCAATGGCACGTCCAAGTTGCCGTGTTCTGTAAAGTAGATGCGGCAGGCGTCGACGAGGATCGCGGGCGTCAGCGGTGGACGTCGCTGGCGCGGGTGCGATAGCATGGGTGCGAACCGCGCCATCTCTTCGTCCTTGACGTACGCTGGAAAGCCGACGCGCTGCAAAAGACCAAACGCTTGGCCGAGGTCGATGCCCCACGTCTCGCGCGGCCACGCAGCGTTCGTTGGCACCACAAAGTCGAACGGGACAGGGATGGGTCCGTGCAACTCGAGAAAGGCGTCGAGGGCGCGAAAGCGCACGTCCCAGTGGTTGCGCCGTGCGCTCCATGGAAAGCTCAGCGCATCCATGTCGGCGACGACACTTGGATCGAGTCGGTTCTGATGGTACAGCGCCCGGAAGCGGCTAAGGTTGATGTCCTTGCCGCGCACGTTCTCGGGCCACGGCGCTTCGTTCGGGATGAGAAGAGTACCATGCGACGGCGCCATGGCGTGGACGTCGTGGTAGATCTTGACGACGTTCGCAATGCTGCGCTGCTTCTTGAGGCTAAAGTTGATGTTGCCATACGTCGAGAAGGCCGCGCGGCCCACGGCGCGGCGCAGCATCCTGTCAAGTAGGATTTTCGCTGCTTTCGATTCGTCGACTCATTTGCGGCAGATGCCACATACTAAAAACACGCAACTATGGAAGCTGGCACGAGGGCGACGAGGTCCATGCAACAGTGACGACGCAGAGTGAGAGGCTAGGATTGTAGTTGCAATTGCTTCTCTACAGATGGGCGAAGGCCTGGTCGGCGGCAAGCACGTGCTAAAAGCGCACGCCGCCCGTCATTGGGTCTGAATATGGTTGTGGTGGGAGAGACTGTAGCCCAAAATGCCACGTTGGTGACCGATGGAAAGCAGCATATGCCGCAAATAAATAACAGAATGCGGCCAATTCGGCATCGCCCACGGATTCAAGGATTCAAAATTCGTGCCAAATGACTTGATGTTTGTATACCTTTGCTGGGCGTGGCAAAAAAATTGAGGCTGCAATTCCCGCTCGTACCCAGTCCACCAAGTGAGGAAGGAGGCAGAGAGCCATGAGCATGGAGCCCGAGCACAAGTACATCTCGACCGAGCACATCCAGGTAGAGAATGCTGCCGCATGCATGCGAGGCTTATAGGCGGCTAGAGCATGCTGGACGAGAACGCGACCATGATCGTCGAGATCATCCAGCTCAACAACGCCGTCAAGCACGAGCGTGGCGCCGCGCTCGCCGACATCCAGGACAAGCTCGAAAAGAAGCGCAAGAAGCTCAACCGGAACCTTATGACGCTCGCCAAGTGGGCCGATGAGAGCACGGAGCCGCCCGTCAAGTCCAAGCCCGCGCCTGTCGCTATTGTCCAGCCGCCGGCCCAGATCGCCGCGCCCGTTGCCGAGCAGCCCAAGCCAGAAGGCGGTGACCAGCATATGGGTGTGAACCAAGCGATGGACAACAATGCGCTGTCAGTTGAAGCGGCCACCGATGCGCCCAAGGCGGAAGGCGAGGACGATCAGGTCAAGGTTGATGTGCCGCAGGAGAAGGAAGACGACCCGATGGGCGCGACGGACGCGACCACGGACGAGACGGTGCTACCGACGAAGGCTGAAGAGGTGGCCGACGTTGACATGGGCAAGGGCGACGACGTCGAGCCTCTGCCTCTGGTCCAGTCGCCGCTCGCGACCCTCTCGGGTGTTGCATCCCCGAGCATCTCGGGGGTTGCGTCGCCCAACGTGTCTGCGATCTCGTCCTTTGAGAACACGCCGCAGGCGTCGGCAGCTGCGTCCCCGAAGCCGGATTCCGAGATTGTCGAGTCGGCCATTGCCTCGCCGATCGATGCGACGCCTGAAGAAGCGTCCATGCCGGCCTCTACGGAGGCTGCAACTGCTTCAACCGACGCAGTTGACGTCGCGCCTGTCGACGTACCTTCGCCGGATGCCGTCGCGGAAGCGCCCGTGACCGCACCGTCGCCGGAAGCCTCCACGGAGATGTCGGTCGAGGTCTCTGCAGACGACGCCTCCATCGTGGACTCTGCTGACGCGTCGGCTGAAGCATCGGCTGAAGCGTCTCCTGAAGCATCTGCCGAAGCGTCTCCTGAAGCATCGCCCGAGGTGTCCGCCGAGGCCTCGCCCGAAGCGTCTGCTGAAGCATCTGCCGAAGCGTCTCCTGAAGCATCTCCTGAGGTGTCTGCTGAGGCCTCACCCGAGGTGTCCCCTGAAGCGTCTCCCGAAGCATCTCCCGAGGCCTCTGCTGAAGCTTCGCCGGAAGCGTCTGCGGAAGCGTCGCCGAATGCTTCTGCCCAGGCCTCGCCTGCTGCATCGCCGGCCGCCGTCGCAGAGAGTTCTGTGGAAACGACGACTGCGCCCGAGCCGTCCACCGAAGGTGCTTCGGACGATGCCATGGACGCCTCGCCGGTAGCAGACGCGTCGGTGACGAACGACACACCGCCGGCTGTAGCAGACGCGTAAGGATAAATGTATTGAGGATGCAGTGGACCTTTGCCTGTTATAAATAAATAAAGAGCGCGATGGCTAGTAGCGCAAGAGATGCGGGGACGACAAGAGCGTCTGGACGATCGCGTCAAAGCCGCGGTGGCGCGCTCGCTCGAGGCCGAGGCTCGAGTAGCCTTCGCGCCGATGCAGCACGAGAAAGGCCACGACGTTGGCATGGCCGTGCATCGCGGCCCCGTCGAGGGCCTGCGTCGTGCAAGCGCTGTCGCTGTGGTCGTGCAGATACTGTACAATCGCGAGATGCCCCCACGTGGCTGCAATGTCCATGGCCTGTGCGCCGCTGCGGCCTTGGAGGTGATGGACGAAGAGGAACTCGACGAGGTCCAACCGCCTACGTACGCCGCGTCGATACCAGGCATTGAAGAAACGCACGAGCACGCACCCGAGCTGCGCGGCCCGCACGAGCGTGTACGAGCAGCAGCCTTCGGCGCGATGCGCCAAGAGGAACGAGGCTGTCGTTGTGTGGCTCGAAAGAAGAGCGTGGTGCAGCGCATACTCGGTGCAGCCCTCGCTGCGATGTGCGTGCAAAAACTGCACGATCGCCAAGTGACCGCGCTTGGCGGCTCCGTTCATAGCCCACACCTACAAGCAACACGGTGTGAGGAGGAGGAAGATGCAGCGTCGCTTGTCATGAGAACCGAGCATGGAGCGCCGTGGCGATGGAGCCACACCACGGTCTCGAAGTGCCCGTTTGAGGCCGCTGCGTCCATGGCGGCGGCGCTGACGCAGTAGACGCTCGAGTGCTTGTAGGCAGCGGCGAGCACCTTGGTGGCACCGGTCGACGCGGCGTGGTCCAGCACGCTGAGCTGGGAAAGCGACGGAACATAGATTGCGCGGTGGTAGTCGAGAAGCGCCCTCGGCCAGCCAGCTTGGAACGCGCAGACCATAGCGAGCAGCGGTGCATCGCAGACGACAGCGAGCGAGGCCATGGCGTTCGGCGAGAATGACCAACTGCCACGCGACGCTGGCACGATGTGTTGCAAACTCGTTTGAAACGTACCCTTTCTCTCTATGTTTGTATAGGTGCAGTATCAAACAGTGCATGTTTTAAACTGTTTTATGGAATATCGAAGTGCCAAAAATAGATTTCCCGAAAATAGAAGCCATCGCAACCCGCAAGCTGCCCGGTCCAACGGCAGCGGAGCAGTCGCTTCGAGGCTCGACGGCGATGGCGCCGCCTTCGTTTGCAGCGTGCAGTGCGGCGATGAAGAGGTACTGCATAGGTCGTCCAAATTTTGCAGTGCTCTTCTTCTACATAAAGCAGCTGGTCCTGCTGCTACCCTGCGAGGGTAGCATGTCGAGCGAGCCAACGCACAGCAATGTGATTGGCATTAGCTTAGCGGAATCGAGCTCAGGCGGGGCAGAGGTCCGTGCGAGAGAGCGACGACGCGACGTACTCGCGGCCAAGCACCGAGACATGGTCGAGCCACGGCGACATGGTCGGGTACAAGCTCGACGCGGTGCTGCTGAGTGCTAGCCACGCACGGCGCTGAAGCTCGATCGTGTGCTGGTCGGGGAGGTTGACGGGGTCGAGCCACTTTTGGTAGCCCCAGTAGTACGCCGTGCTAAGGCACGTGGACAGCGTCGGGTCGGCGGCCACAGCGCTGGCGACGAGGCGGCCGGCCATGGCATGCAAGAAGTGGTCGACTTGGCCATACTGCTGGCTATGCAGCGTCGCGCGGCCCTTGGCTTCCAACTTGACAATCGCCAAAAGGACCGCTTGCACCTCGGCCTCGGTCGCATAAACCTCGTCGGGTCGGTCCATGGGCGAGACTGGCGTCCCAAATTTGGACAAGTCGATCGTGCGTAGCTCGGGCAGTCGTAAAAAGTAGTGGGCGACGTTGCCAATCTCGACCTTGGCGACGACGTGCCCGAGGACAGTGACGGACGACGTGCGTTGCACCGGGTCAAAGCGCCCAGCCGCTTGAACCCACGCTCGCGTCGCTGCAAGTGTCCCTGCCTCCCGCGCTTCGTACCAGCCGTTGTTCGATCCGGCGTCGCCGGCGGTCATGTAGATGCAGGTGACTGCGGTATCCGGGTCGGCGACCGCCTTGGCGACTTGACCGGACATGAAGAGCTCATGGTCGTCTTGGTGCGCCGTGAGAAAGAGCACCGACGACGTTCGCGCGGTAGGTGCGACTGGCAGCGTCGTTCTCGGGCTGATGACCCCCAGCGTCGACCGCGGCCGGTACAGAGCCGTGTACAAGCTGCATTTTTCCATCAAGTAGGACGACGCAAAGCAGTTGGACTTGGAGGGGAGGCACTGGCGGTGGCAGTCGTCATTCGAGAGTGCTGGCACCACGAGTGTCGTCGATGCCAAGCCGCGGAGCAGTCGCTTCCCGATAGAGATCGGTGACGTCGGGTAGTTGACAAACTGGATGCTGCGGAGTGGCGACGTCGTCGTCGGCACATTGTAGCAAGTCTGCGTCGGCTCGTCGTAGAGGAAGACGACGTTCACGGCAGCGTCCGGCTGGGCCGCCACGAGCTTCGCGCAGCGAACGACCGAGTTGACGTTGGTCGCCACCACGCGCTTGGCGACCTCGTCCCCGAGGTACCGGTCGGTCATGGTGACGTACTGAAAGTCGTTCAGTATCTCGGCCCACGCGTGCGGGTTCTGGACCCAGCCGGCAACGACGTCGGTGTCGGCATCGGCGTGGACCACGGGCACGACGACGGCACAGACGCCACTCTCCAGCGTGAACCCGACGCCGGCGCACGTATCGGTGCACGCCGCGTGGCACGCCGCGAGGGTCGGTGCAGAGAGTGTTCGCACAAAGGACGCTGGAAACTCTTGCGGGCCAAACGGAAGAAAGCTGTCTTGGCTGCGCATCCACGTCGTCGCCGGCGCCGATGCGCTGCTGGGTGCAAAAGTGTGTGCCATGCAGAGCTGCGACGCCGCGGCAAAGGTAAAGTAGGCAAAGCGGTACGTGCTGGCCACGAGCGCGCACTCGCCGGGACTGCGCACGCGCGGAAAGTACCGGACGTGCGTCGACGCAGCAACCAGCTCATGTGGCTGCCCTGCGTGCTGCGCCTGGAGGGTTTCGTTGGTCATGATCCGCTCGAACGCATATAGAAAGGCCTTGTACGCCGACGTCTCGAGCCAGCGAGCTTGCGGCAGCACGCTGTACGCGATGCGCGGTAGCGGAAACTCGCCAAAGATTCGAGTTTGCACTTTGGTCGGACCCGGCGGTGGCGGTGGCGGCGGTTGTGTCGAGGGCAGGGCCAGCGACCCTGACGTCGATCCCGGGGCCGACACCTTGCTCCCTTGGTTGGTGCGGAGGCTACAGACACCGCCCGACCAGACGTAGAACGTGCACCCGGGCGTATCGGCGCAATCTTGACAGCACGCACTCGAGAGCGCATGGCTGGTGGTCGCGAGCTGGGTCCCGTCGTAGGCAACGTCGGGCTCCGGGACACCGCAGCTGCCAACGCCGCCCGTTGTGCCTTTCGAGCCACCGATGGCGCCAAGTGCGATGGACGCTTGGCCTTTTGTGTGCTTGAGGTTGCACATGCCGCGACCTGTGTATAAGCTCCAGACATACGCGACGCAGTTGGCGTCGCATCGCAGTCGGCGCAGCACGCATCGGCCGAGTCCCGCGGAATCGACACAATGTCGTTGCCAGAGTAGTCGACGTCCTTCTCGATCGTGCAGACGGACGCCGGCTTGTTGACAAGGGCGGATCGAGCACCAGCGCGAGGTGTGGGGTCGCCTACGAGTCGCCGCAAGTAGCAGCGGCCTTTGTCGTCAGGGGTCCATACAAACGCTTGGCACCCCGGCGTCTTTCGGCAGTCGTCGCAGCAGTCTTCGGCGCGGCGTTGGAGCGACCACGACATGTCGACGCCGCGGTACTCTGTGTTTTCAAGCACCGGCGAGCAAAGCGGCGAGGATGGTCCGGGGATTTTGGCCGCGCGCGCGCCGGCGGCCGGCATATGCCACCCGATCGTGTGCTTGAGGTAGCACGTGGATGCGCCATTCCAGACGTACACGACACACCCCGGCGTTGCGGCACAGTCGGTGCAGCAGTCGTCTGGATTCGACCGCGTCGTGGTCTTGATGTCGTTGCCATAGTAGTCGACATCCTTCTCGATCGGGGTACATACCGACGACGCATTCTGCTGGGCGCTGACGGCGGTCGCCAGCAGCAGAACTGCCACAAGAAAGCACCGCATCGGACTGCAGAAGTGAATTGCCTTGTGTGTACCAAAGCGGTGACGATCGCGCGGGCATGAGCACTCGGCAAATCAGACGTAGACAGGCAGGCGATCGTCTGATCACAACTCAGAACTTATCCATGGGATTGGCTGGAAGTAGCGAATCACATGATATCTTGGGTCTTGTTGGGCCAATCCAAACCACGATTGGACGGCTAGCTACACCCCTAGCCGCATGAACCGCAGGCAACGGGTGAATTCGACTGTCGACGGTGGCACGTCGACGGCATCGATCTGCGACTTTGCATATTCAGCAATGTGTGCAGCACATGATCATGCTACTCGATATAATACTACTGTACTACTGTAGGAGCTTTAATATGGACGTTGAATCGGGTTAACGGGTTAACCAGCGACGATATTGCGTTGGTTCGCGGAGGATAGTTGCTTGCAGAACTTCCTGTTACCGGTATAATGCGGTGGCTTGCATCACAGAACAGCTCCGGCAGCGCACGGATTTCCACTTTTTTCTCCGAGTTCAACTCTAGCCGTGCTACTGATAGCTTGAATCTTGCATGGCCAGAGTACAGTACGAGTCGGTGTACCTAACACAAGACATGTGCGAGGAGGTCCGTGCGAGACTAGAAACCTCGGCCGGACCATATAGTCCATCGTTTTGTATCAAGTGGAGTATCGATTTATCAAGCGCTGTTCGCGTTTGGCGCGAGGTGTGGGCGATGTGGCCGCTCGATAGATTCGGTTGGGAGCGGTCCTGTAATATGCTTGATCGCATCGAACAAAACTGGGCAAGTGATTGGGATCACGCGCGAGACGTCGGGCAACACCAGCAATCAGACCATGCCAGAGGCCACGGAGACTCGGCCGAGGCGTCTGGCTTGGATGCGATGAGGCACATGGGGTAATGCCATGATCGCAGTGGTCCACGCAGAACGAACTACTGCCTGTGTTGCGTCGCTATCGCATCATGGTAGCAATGGAGGACCCAAATGATGCTGCGGGTGTCGTTGGCGTTCTGGTGACCTTGCTTCGGTGCTGCACGAAAACCTGCATTAGCGGCGCCGTCGTAGTATTCTCCAGACACAAAGGTCCTCTCAGTCTCGGTGGCAACAAAGATCGACGTCCAGATCAGAAGTCACTCGCGTGCTTCTTCGCTTGGCGAAATCCAAGTGTTGTGTCTTCCTCGCAACTCTCCCGTCGACGTATAGACAGTGTCAAATACAGTGCCTGATCCATCCTAAACAGTGTCTGGACAAAAAGATAGGTTGCGATCTTTGCCGCTCTGTGATTGGCTGTTATCGACCAATGGCACCGCGAGGGCCAGAAAGGCCGCGATGGCTCCGTTCGACGTCGTCGTGCGTGGCCCCAAGGCGCCCGCGCCGCTCGCACGGCTGCATGGCCTGCCGTACTTTGTCATTGCGCAGATCATCTTTGCCACCAACGCCTTTGTCCTCATCAACTGGTATGGCGCGCTCGGAGCGGTCGCCGGCCTCGGCCTCGGCGTCATGGGCTCGGTCCTCGACGCACTCGTCTCCAACAGCTTTGGCTACAACATTATCGTGCTCCGCTACAATGGCTTCTCCGACTGGTCCGTGCTTGGTGCGATGACGCTCGCGCTTCTCGGCGGGCAGCTCATGAACGTGATTGTGATCGAGCACCTCGCCGGTCCGATGGCTGTCGCGGACCTCCTCGCGACGTCGTCGTACACGCCGTGGACGCTCTTTGGCGTGCTACTCAACCTTGGCATGAGCGAAGTGGTCTTCTACACAGGCCACCAGTTTCTCCACGAGACATGTCCAGAGCTCCACTTGATGCACCACTGCTGCCTCCGACCGACGGGGTCGACCAACCTGATTTCCGACCCGCGCGACGTGGCGATCGAGCTCGGCGGTCCCGGGGCGCTCTTGATCATGAACCATTTCCTCTTGTGGGAAGAAGACGCGACGATCCTTCTACTCTCGTACCTCTTTGTGACCTGGTACTATACCCTCACGCATCACGAGTGGCTGGCAACGTATCACATCAAGCACCACACGCGCCTCAATGCAGTCTACACGGTCTACATCAACCAGCCAGGGGACGCACGGCGAGACAGGATCAGGAGTCTCCTCAAGCGGCCGCCCAAGCACTTGCTGCAATAGCCCCTCGTGCCACGTCCGACGCCAGAGCCGGTTTTTCCCGCGTCCAAAACGGCATCCTTTATGTGGCTCAAACACTGCGCCGATATCGATACCAAGACAGACTGTCATGAGATTACAATCAAAAAAGCATATAAGATGCAGCACACGAGCTTGGTTAGCGCAGCGGCGCGCCGAGGGCGTGGTTGACCGAGCTCTTGCACTCGACACCCTGCGACGCCGTGTGGTTGGTGTTGGGGATGAACCAGCAGTGGCCGCGCGCAATGCCACCCGGCACCGTCGCCGACAAGTTGAAGCCGCCAAAGACCCAGTCCTTATCGAACGAGACCCACTGCACCTTGAGCCAATCCTTCGAGAACGTGAGCTCCATAAAGCCATACGGGTTGCCAGCCGCGGCCCACTGGTTGTTGATGAGCGCGTTGTGCTCGCCGACGGCCGTGTCGGTGCGGATACCGCCGCCGCCGCCGTTCTCGAAAAAGTGCGTGCCCCACGCCGACTTGTCGTGCGAGAAGCCGTGCGTGTGGCCGTTGAACCACGCGTTGACGTTGCCGTCCTGCAGCAGCTTGTACCACCGCATGTACTTGGGCGGGCTCATGTGGTAGTGCGGCGAGTAGTGCGTGTTGATGATCTTGAAGGTGGCGGTCGACGCCTTGATGTCGCGCTCGGCCTGCGTGTACGAGTCCTGCGACCACGCCTCGATCTCGGCCATACACGCGCGGTACATGGTCACGTTGCCGCCCATGCACTGGGGCATGCCTTCGTTCGCGGCCTCGCAGCCGGCGTTGGAAATCCCCATCTTGGCCGAGTAGCCAAAGCACTGGCAGCAGATTTGGCGCGCGCCATGGCTATCCGCGTGGTTTGTGTCCAAGTTGAAGATGTCGACCGAGACGCCGTCCTTCTCGTATGACTCGACGTAGTAGTGGTCGCGCAGCACCCACCGGTCGCCGTTCGGGCTCTTGTAGTTTTGCTGCAACTTGAAGTGCTGGTTGAGAAAGTACAGCATCTCTTCCGTCGACTTGCACTCGTAGTACCGGTCTTCCTGGTGGCCGCAGAGGTACGACGAGCCCGCAATGTCGTGGTTGCCGAGCACGTTGAGCCACTTGATGCCGGCGAGCGACGGCTGCGAGTACATGCGCTCGAACGTGTCTGCGAACCGGTAGTGCACGTCCCAGCTGCCGACGCCGTTCCAGTAAAAGTTGTCGCCATGTCCGAGGACGTAGACAGGCTTAAGACCCCGGTCGGCGAACTGGGCCGCCGACTGCGCGAGGATGTTGGCCACGTAGTGCTGCGAGTAGTAGTCGACCATGTACCGCTTCAGACGCGTGTTGACCTTGCCCGCGTACATGCGGCAGCAACTGCCGGGGTTGCCAAACTGCTTGCCGTACGTGGCGCCCCAGTCGCCGATGGCGAGGATCGAGAACGCCGGCGTCTGCGTCTCCGGGTCCGAGTCGGGCAGCGACGTGCTCGTCATCGCGGCCGTAAGCCCCTGGTGCCCCGGCGCGTGCGTCGCCGAGATCTCGGGCGTCGGCGCAATCGACGCCGTCGGCGCCTTGACGGCGGCGACTGTGGTCACGGCACCAGACGAGTGCAAGGCAAGGTAGACCACGGTCGAGACACCGACAATGGCAACGGCCGCCAGCAGCACGCTCTTCTTGGTCTACACACATGCATATGAGCATGCGCATCGGTGGAAGATGGGGCGTCAGGACGTACGACGGCGGCAAAGCGCGATGGCGGCGCGTCGTCTTGGTGCAGGAGCGAGTCGGCTTCGCGCTATTAAGAGTAGCGGCATGAGCCTGGGCCGCCGGCAGAGGACGGAGCGGGTACTGTACCTGGGTCGACGCCATGGCAGAAATTGAGTTCTGACACCAACCAGCCGTCGGCTGAAAGGCATCGTGGGTGAGATATAAGAAAGGACATGGTAGCATTTCACCTCTTACATTTTATATACTGTAGCGCTCGATATGATGACACGCCAAGAGATGCCAAGCACGGGACACGGCAAGTACCGGTAGCACGATGCAGCCCACGTGCCCACGTGTATCAAGCGTTCAAGCGTCCGTGGTGTCAAAGGAATACAATTGCTTGTTCCTTGGCGGTGTAGAGCCTTCCTTATCGATGGTGGGTCGAGAGGCGTTCACCGTAAATCCCAGTCAACCGCGATCAGAAAGAATGCACCTCGAATGTGGGTAGCTCTGGACACTTGGAACGAGGTATTAATAATCGACGTGCGTGTGGACACAGAGCTTGCCTGCAGTGGTGCTAATATCGTGCTGAGAGCCCGAAAGCAGAGTCAGGAGGCAGCCAGTGGATAAAACCTCGTGAACTTGATACTCTGTGGGAGTAAATACTTCAAGATCGTCAGGCGGCCAACTGCTATCACTTGCCCAGCCAGTCAACACCCGCCGTGGCGCGCCAGCCAATCTCTCCCCGTGCCTTCTTCAGGGCGTCGCATAAGCCAATCCTGCTGGCGCCCCTGTTGCTGCCCTCCTGTTTCGGCTTGGAGCAAGTCCACGCTTCTTCGCCCATCACGGCCACTTGAGGCCAGTTGCATAGCCCCAACCGTTTCCATCCATCAGATGCCGCAGCTGCCGCGAACATCCGCGACGCCACCACGCCAGAGCGTATGCATAAACATGCTCGCAGGGCGAGTCAGGACCGGTGGGCCGGCCAACCGCTTGCTTCTCGCAGCACTGCCATGTAGTGGCTTCGACTCAGGGAGCTCTGGCAGTCCACCTCGGAACAGCACCATCGGGTCGCTGGTCGAGGTTTGATTGACAACACAGATCTTGAAAAAACCACGGGCCGTTGATTGAAGTTACCCCAAAAGAAAAGCTTACGCCCGAATCGGTGCGCCGAGCGGCGTGTCGATCGAGCTCTTGCACTCGACACCAAGCGCTCCGTTCGCCGTGTAGTTAGCGCTCGGAATGAACCAGCAGTGGCCGCGCGCGAGGCCGCCTTGCTTGGTCGCCGCATAGTCGGTGCCACCAAAGACCCACGCATTGTCAAAAGTGACAAACTGCACCTTGAGCCAGTCCTTGGAGAAGCTTAGCTCCATAAAGCCGTACGGGTTGCCACCGGCAATCCACTTGCTACAAGAGGCATGAGACTTCCTCGCGACAAATGAGTCAAGGACCAAGGACGTACTTGTTGACGGTCTCGCTTGTGACGCCCGACGACGTCTCGGTCACGATGCCACCGCCGCCGCCGTTTTCAAAAAAGTGTGTGCCCCACGTCGCAATGTCGTGGTTGAAGCCGTGCGTGTGGCCGTTGAACCACGCTTGGACGTTCGTCGACTTGCAGAGGTCGTACCACGCCTGCATCTTGGGCGGGCTCATGTGGTACTGCGGCGAGTAGTGCGTGTTGATGATCTTGAAGTCGGCCGTCGACGCTGGAATGTCGCGCTTGGCCTGCGTGAGCGAGTCGTCGGCCCAGTCGGCGATCGTCTGCATGCACGTGTTGTACATGCCGACGTCGCCTCCAGCACAGGCCTTGTCGCCAGCGTTGACGTTGTTGCACTTGCTTTCATCGTAGCCGTACTTGTACGAGTAGCCGTAGCACTGGCAGCATACTTGGCGCGCGCCGTGGCTGTCGGCGTAATTCGTGTCGACGTTGAAGATGTCGACCGAGACGCCGTTCTTGGTCACACGCTCGACGTAGTAATGGTCCTTCATGAGCCACCGGTCGCCGTTCGGACTCTTGTAGTTCTTCTGGAGGTCAAAGCGCTCGTTGAGGTACTTGAGCATCTCCGCCGTCGACGAGCACTCGACGAATGCATTGTCCTTCTCGCCGCAGATGAAGTTCGAGCCGCCAATATCGTGGTTGCCAGCGACGTTGACCCACTTGATGCCCGCGAGCTCGGGCTGGTTGTACATGTCTTCAAAGGTCGACTGGAACCGGTAGGCGGCGTCGAGGGATCCGAGACCGTTCCAGTAAATGTTGTCACCGTGGCCAATGATGCGCACAGGTGCAAGCTCCTTGGCCGACTGCGCGAGGATCGTCGCCACGTGCTTTTGCGACCAGTAGTCGACCTTGTAGCGCGGCAGCGCCGTGTTGAGCTTGTTCGTGCCCTCGTACAGCACGCAGCACGAGCCCGGGTTGCCACTCTCCTTGCCGGTCGTGCTACCCCAATCGCCGATCGCGAGCATCGTCACCGCCGTCGTCTGCGTCTCGGGGTCGGACGTCGGGTTGACCGCCACGATCGGCTTGCCGTTCGACGATGTCGGCGTCGGCGTCTCGTCGCCGGGCGCGACCGTGCCGCCTGTCGTCGTCGTGGCGCCCGGGCGCGTCGTACCAGTCGGCGCGGTCGTCGGTCCGTTGTTGTTGTTGTCGTTGTTGTTGTTGCTGTTTGACGCCTGCGACGAAGTGCTGTTCTTGGTCACGAGCACGCCCACGGTAGTGCCCACGACGGCGGCGACGACCACGAGCGCCACGCCAATGATGATCAACTTGCGCTTGTTCTACATGACACATGAGCTGTCTTCGCTCGCAGGTATGGCGGCGTACGCTCTTGGTCTCGGGTGCCGGCAGCTCCGCGTGGACGTCCACGGGCTGGAGCGACGACTGCTGCACGTACGGGGATGCTGGACCGCCTGCCATGCTGCCAGCAAAGATGCGAATGCCACCGGACTAGATTGCCCAAGAACTTCGAAAATGGATCTTCTGGCATCCGGATACGACGCGTCGGTACCGGATAAAGCGCCAACAGAAGATTTTATCTTCTCTTGTTCTCAATTTTCGAGAACACCACCAACCGCAGCTGCCCGCAACCTTGCAGGTACAGATACCTCCCAGGAGGAGGCCGAGCAAGATGGAGCGGGCGGCGCTCGGATACCCAGAGGTTGTGATGGGGTCATAGCACTTTAAAAGAAGTGCTGTGCAGAGGTGGTGGTGGGAGCTGCACTTCACCGGATGCGACCGAGTGGTCTTGCCTCATTTCACTTTTCAGATTCGCAGATTCGCAGATTATTAGGGGTGCTAGTACGTACGGGGTGTGACGACACCGTCGAAGGGCGTGGGCGAGCTCGAGACTGCGTCAAGGACGAGCTAGGGTTCGGGCTGGGAAGAGGGTTAGGGATCCATTGACGAGGGCGCTGCCGATTTGGCCTCGACGCGCCAGACACGCAATCCAGGACGCACGAAACAAGATTGTTGATTCAAAAATGAGGCAAAATATGCACTCGCATCGCACTTACAAGGGCGCGCCGACACCGCCATCGACCGACGACTTGCACTTGATGCCTTGAACGCCGCTGGCCATGGCGGCGGCGTTCGGCACGTAGTAGCAGTGACCGCGCTGCAGCCCGCCCTGCACCGTCTTGCTGAGATCCATGCCGCCAAAGACCCAGTCCTTTCCAAAGGTGACAAACTGGACCTTGAGCCACTCCTTTGTGAAGCTGAGCTCCATAAAGCCGTACGGAGTACCGGTCGCGAGCCATTGCCTAGGCATGAATTCCATGAGCAAGCGCGATGAAGCGAAGGGTAAGGCTACGTGGTGACGTTGGCGACGACGCTGGCGGACGGCGACTGCGAGATGATGCCACCGCCGGCGCCGTTTTCAAAAAAGTGCGTGCCCCACGTCGAGATATCGTGGTTGAAGCCGTGCGTGTGGCCGTTGAACCACGCTTGGACGTTCGTGGACTTGCAGAGGTCGAACCACACTTGCATCCTCATTGGGTTCATGTGGTATTGCGGCGAGTAGTGGGTGTTGATGATCTTAAAGTCGGCCGTTGACGCCGCAATGTCACGCTTGGCCTGCATGAGCGAGTCTTCGGACCACCCGTTAAGGACCTTCATGCACGCTTTGTACATGTCGGCACTGCCACCGGCACAGGCCGGCTGACCGACGTTGACGTTGTCGCACACATTGCCCGGGAGCTTGAGCTTGGCCGCGTACCCGTAGCACTGGCAGCAGACCTCGTTGGCGCCGTGGCTGTCGGCGTAGTTGGTATCCAAGTTGAAGATGTCGATCGAGACGCCGTTCTTGGTGACGCGTTCGACGTAGTAGTGGTCCTGGAGCGACCACCTAGCATTTGACCTCCGCGTTGCGGCGAATCCATACGATCGTGGCGTTGTCATACCGGTTGCCATTCGGGCTCACATAGGCCTTTTGCAAGTCAAAGCGCTCGTTGAGGTTCTTGACGAGGTCTGCCGAGTCGACGCACTCGCGGAACTGGTTGTCTTCTTCGCCGCAGATGAAGCCCGAGCCGCCAATGTCGTGGTTGCCAACGACGTTGATCCACTTGATGCCGGCGAGCGATGGCTGGTTGTACTTGTCTTCGAACGTCGTCTGGAAGCGGTACCCGACATCTTTCGTGCCGACGCCGTCCCAGTACATGTTGTCGCCATGCCCGATGATGCGCACGGGCTTGAGCTCGGCCGCCGACTGCGCGAGGAGCGTCGCCACGTACTGCTGCGCGTAGTAGTCGACCTTGTAGCGCGGGTTGCGCGTGTCGACGGCGCCGTTGTAGAGGACGCAACACGAGCCCGGGTTGCCGTTGGCCTTGCCCGTCGTGCTGCCCCAGTCGCCAATCGCCAGCATCGTCACCGCCGGCGACTGCGTCTCAGGGTCCGGCATCGAGATGCCGTTGCTCGTCGACGTTACCGACGCCGTGACGCCGGTTGCGCTGCCACTCGCCGGCGCCGACGTGGTGGTGCCAGTGCCACCCGACGCGACCGACGCGCCTGCGGTCGCATTTTCGCCGTTGACAATGATCGACGCCGCCGTGACGGCGATCGCAATGAGGGCGACGCCACCGAGCGCGCCAAAGACGAGGTTGCGCCGCTTATTGGTCTACGCAACTGTGACGCACTGCTGCATGGCGCTAGCGAGTCGTACCGCAGCGGTCGTGCCACTGAGCAAACCGGCGGATTCGAGGTTCTCGGGGTTCTGTCTCGTCGGCGTCTATGCATACAACGTCATGCACTGTGTCGAGAGGAGGCGCACGACCTGCACGGAAGCCATGGTCGCGGCCAAGAACGCTTTTGCGATGTGCGACGGTGATGCAGGCGACGCCAAGGCCGTGTGCAAACCTTTCATACAGAATAACCCGTTATTTTGCAAGATTTTATTGCAACATATGTTGTATATATATACTTCGTAACCTGTAGAATCCCATATATTGTTGTAGGACATACTTCAATATGACAACCGGCCCAGCGTGGGATCCCAGTGGTATCCTAGAAACGACGCGGCCTAATTAGGATTTTACCCTTGACGGCAAGAGCGCTCTGCACAGCACAACCCTCGAGCTCAACATGGTAGTAGCTCTAGCATCGTAGAAATATATAGTACACGGGAAGGAGCTGCTCGTATGGACCTGAGATTGGTGCTTTGCCGACGAGAAAGCTCGACGAGAGCCACCTTGAAGGAGGCCTATCACCCCGCAACTGCCACGCCGACGCATCCCCCTCCACGTCCTCCTCCTGACCACACGTTCCTGTCGATGTGTTGAGAGTACCGTAGACAAATCTGTGCATTTTGACAGCTTGCTATTAGTACACTCGCCTCGGCTGTCCGACTTGTCTTGCGAGAAAAGTTGTGGCGGCCCCGAATTGCGAGCGCCTGCTTCTAGCGGCACGCCATGACAGAGTACAAACTAGTATGGGCATGCTTTCCATCGCCTACCGGAAAGAATCGTTTCTTGACGCCAATGGGAAAAACGGAAGAGAGGAACTCGACGAAGTGCGACGCTTGAGCGCCATCTCTTACCCGGGCAGCAGGTCATTGGAGGCCGTGCGTGTCGGGTTCAACGGAGGTCGGCCGAGCAAGGGCATGCACAACAATGCAGTCGTTAGGGTCAATGATGACAGGAAGGTTGCGAGCTTTTCCAAGACTCCAAGCCGCCCCAGTCTCTCTTGACAGGGGTTTTCTGCTCGTGCACGATGATGTCGGTAGGCAGTCGCAACGCAACTTGGAGGGGCCATTGATGGCAGCGATGCAACACTCGACTCACTGGTAGGATCAGACCTCGAGGAGCAATGTAGCAAGTGCGGTCTCGACAACGGCAACGAGTGCAGGAGCCAGGACGAGAATCTGCGCTGGTGGACCGGACGAGATGTGGTACCGTAACGACGAGCGTGAACCACACGCGTTGCAACCTCCGAGTCGCTCCCGACCAGTCGATGCTCAAGCAACGATGCGTAGAACCCGATGCTTTCGCGGAGAGAGAGGTTCCAAGCCGCTTGGAAGTCTGCTTGGGTCAAGCAAGACCAAGCCACCCATCCGAACGTACATCCATCAGGAACGAAATTCAGGAACGGCAGCCAAGAGCGGCGCTTCTAAACGCAGCATCGATACCAGCCACTGCAAGCATCTAGTAGAAGATTGGCACCCGACAGCAGCGCCCGTAGACCCACCTTGCATCCGGTATACATAGCCGCGCGCACCGTCTCGGCTTGGCTGCATTTGTCGCTTTCGCTGCGTTGCGTGGGTGCGCCGGCGCACCAACAAGAGCGAGCTACACAAGAGCGCTGTGGCAAGGTCGGGGCAAGGTGCGTGACACCGTACGTTACCAAGTCTGCCGCGACTGCTCACGTAATGACCATCAAATTTTGTTCAGCATGTGCAATGAGGCGTGCGTGGCAGTGATATTTCGGATCGCTTTGCAGCTCGACCCTACGGTACTGTACAAGTAAGAATACTATCCGTTATGTTGGCTTCCCTCGGCTTCCCTCGCCGCCAAGCAGACCACGGAAGCACGAAACTCTCCCATGACAAATTCATCGTCCTGCCGTTGGGTGCCATCCAATGTGCACCGAGCAGTGGGCATCCCAATAGCATATCTCTATAAACAAACAAGATAGAAAGCAGATAGGAGGGCGCGATAGGACTTATCACTCTAGCAATGATCGTCGTCATGGCACTCGAGTGCTAAGTTATCGGTATGGCGCATTGGACGCCAGATCGTCGCTACATCGCGGAGGACGCTGGCGACCTGCCGCATGCAAACTGGCATCTGGGCTGGCCTTTCTCGTAAAGGCGCACCTGTTCATGTCATATCCGCCCCTTCTTTCGAATATATCGCACCGAAACAAATGTATCCAGGTGCGAGATTGCTCTGAGTGGGAGGTGCCACCTGGTCGTTACGACGACGCTGGCTTGCCCGTTGCCAAGTGTTTCTGCAGACAAAAGCCCGACGAGAGCCGTATCCCTCGTCATATCGCAGCCTTCTCCATCGCCATCCCTCTCGGCACGCCAGCGACGACGATTCCAGGAGAGATAAGATGCCCAGCCGCCGTTCAGACTACGATTTGCACCGGATGAGCTACGAAGACAGCATCGCGGTGCTCGACGAGCTGCCATCCCAGAAGGAGGCCCACACCGCCCGGGTACATAGCGAGATGGTCCATGCATGACAGCTCATGCGACGCCTATGTAGCGGCGCCGCCTCGTTATCTTTGGCGCCATGGGCGTCTTCGTCGTCCTCGGCGCCATCGCGGTCACGACCATGGTGCTCATGAAGAACGGCACGACCGAGTCGTCGACGTCGGCCAACGACAGCGGCAACAAGGCCGGCGGCAGCACGACCGGCGGTGGCGGTACCAACACGGGTGGTGGCGGCACCTCGACGCCCGACAAGCCGGTCGTCGACCCGTCGACCGGAAAGCTCGCGCTCAAGCCGACGACGGACCCGGAGACGGCGCCCGTGGCCTTGACGATGCTCGCGATCGGCGATTGGGGCGGCAGCGCCCTCAAGGTCAGCGGCTCCAACGAGAACGCGGGCAGTTGCTGCATCTGGTACAAGAACAAGATCCAGCCCGAGACGGCGCGCTTCAAGGTCGACTTTTGGGCGCAGAAGCACGTGGCCGCGCTCATGGGCATGTCGGCGAAGGAGCTCAAGCCGCTCGCGGTCTTGAGTCACGGCGACAACTTTTACTGGAACGGCATTGCGAAGAACAACCACAAGTACCGGTTCCAAGACACGTTCGAAGACACGTACAACGACCCGGCGCTCATGGCCGTGCCGTGGGTCAACGTCATCGGCAACCACGACATTGGGGGCGCGCACTTTATCTGCGGCGACGGCTGGGACAAGGACGACAACTTCTTCGAGTGCGAAGACACGGCCATGATGTCCAAGTACCTCAAGGAGCGCTTTGACTTGCAAAAGAACTATGTGAGTCCCAACAACAACCGGTACGCCAATTACTCTCTTTTCAAATGACACTATTGACCATCTTCGGATTAGGTGGCTCCTGAAAGACCACTATTTCGTCCACTCGGTCTCCAAGAACGGCGTCTCGGTCGACATCTTCAACGTCGACACCAACCACGCCGACAACCACGGCGCGTCCCAAGTGTGCTGCCAGTGCTTTGGCTACTCGTACAAGTACGACTACGACAGCACCAAGTGCGACGACGTCAAAGTCGGCAGCAAAATGTGCGCGGGTGGCAGCGCCGAGATGTACAACACGTGCATGGAGACGCTCGAGGGCTGGGCCCAAGACTCGCTCACGCAAGCGCTCAAGGACATGAAGGCGTCCAAGGCGACGTTCAAGATCGTCAACACGCACTTTAGCCCGCTCTACCACATGAACCCCGAGCGCGCCAAGAAATGGTACGATAGACAATGTTTTCCACGTGTAGGAACACGAATGGAATATCTAACTTGGGACCAGGTACGATGTGCTCAAGGCCGGCAACGCCAGTCTCTGGATCAACGGCCACACGCACGGCTTTGACCACGGCATCAGCACCTTTGGCACGCATCTCATGGAGAACGGCGGTGGCGGCGGCATCGTCACCAAGGCCTCCAACGCCGGCTCGGACGCCATCGTCAAAAAGTATGTGCCTCGATACCGAGTATCCTTGTGTGCTCAACGCTGCATGTCTTAGTGTCTGGACGGCCAGTGGCAACCCGTACGGCTTTATGGAGCTCAGCTTCTCCAAGGAGTGGCTCAAGGTGCAATTTGCCACCTTTGACAAGCAGTGGAGCTTTGCCGGCAACGACCTCACGGCGACCGTCAAGGGCGGCGTCGCGCGTGGTCACTGCTGGTTCATTCCGAGCGGTCAGTTCATTGCCCCCGGCTCTCAGGGTGTCGAGTGCAAGAGCTCCGTCAACGGCGTCATTGGCGCCCCCGCCCGATAAATTTCAACAATATCAAGTAATATGAGTCCGTACATCTACGCGAGTAAATGACGTCGTGCTGTTTATAAATTATGTCAATTGTGTACACATTGTCCTTGCCGATCCGCGTTGTCCTGGCCTGCACTCTCTTTCCCGCCTTCCGGTAGGACTTTACCGATTTCTATAGCGGCAAAAATCCGATTTAGGTGATGTCGCCTGGCACCTGATGCCATAGCTTTCATCCTAATTAGGACATTTGGCCTGACCTTGCACTTGGCTACACGCGACGCTGATTGGTGCTTGGATTTTTGTGGGCTTTTCCGTCGAGCTCTCTACCCCAAGGGCCCCTTGCTACCCGCATCCCTTCTTGCCGGTATGTTGCATAGCTTGTTGTTGGGCACGCTAAGCTAGTGACGTTCAAGCCCTCGGCGGCTGCGTCAAACGATAGGCTTCGAATTACTGGCCAATCACCGAGCGACGACGTGCTGCGTTTTTCTGATCCGGCTAGAAAGTGCCAAGTCGTATCTTTGGGCATTCCTGCCAACACCTCCTGTCGACGACGATGCGCCTCGCTCTCGCCGTCTTCGCCCTCGTGTCGCTCTCCCAGGCGTCCATCGACGTCATCGTGCAGTCGTCGCCATCGAGCCTCGTCTCGGCACGCACCTTCCCCATCGGTCTCGAGAGCACAACGATTGAGATCGTACCCCGCGGTGAGCGCCTTTACGACGCGGCCTTTGCGTGGACGTCGCAGTACGGCTACGTTGCGCTGCACGCACACAACGTGATCCTCGACGGCATCAACGAAGCGGGCCTCTCCGCGGCTCTCCTCGACTGGGGCACGTCGATCCCAGTGCCTGCCGGCGCCGACGGGCTCCCTGTCATTACCGCGCTTGTGCCGTTTGTGTTGAGCAACTTTGGCTCGCTCGACGACGTGCAGGCCGGCCTCGCCCACGTCCGGCTTCGACCCATGGCACAGCACGCGTGGCGCCTCACGGTCCATGATAGCAAGGGCCGCAGCCTCATTCTGAACGCGACCAATCACGTGCTCGATGCGCCCCGCGTCGTGCAAGCTGTCGACGACGCCAAGACGACGCAGTCCCTCCGCCAACACGATGCCACGCGGCTCGTGCGCGTGGCAGCGACCGACGCGAGTGCGGCAACCACCGGTGTACCGTCGGCAGTCGCTAGTGCCGTCGCCCGCTTTGACGCTACGTACACGATCCAGGCTTCGGCGCAGAGTCTTCTCGTGCGTGATCATGACGCCAAGACGCTGTATTTGAAGAACATGGCATCGCCGTCGGTATTGCACCAGATTCCCTATGATGCCGAAGTGATGGAGCGCGCGACGCTGCAGCTGTCTGAGGATGGCGCGCTCCTGACAAGCAACTCGTGGACCAACGTGATTCTGGGGTGGCTGTTTTTGCTTGTGTGCATCGCGCTCTCGATCGCGTCGGCCCAAGCCTTCATGCGCCGCCAAGGCTACCACCACCTCCAGTTGATCCACAAGTAGTCCAAGTGTTTGTTCCGACGACGAAGTGCATGTTGTGTCGTGTAATCTATGTCAAAGTGACCAAGTGATGGCGTTCCTCTCTCGTGTGGACGACACGGTTGCAGCTGCCGAGGTGCGCAAGTGGCACACATAGAGTTGCAACCGAGAGCTGGTGAGTGTTTTATAGTAAGGGGCTCGCGGGGTTGGTGTACTTGCAACAAACGAGAGCCAATTGCTAGTGCTGGTGGATTCAGCCACCAAGCGTGTTCAAGTTGAAGGACTCCATCCGCGATCAAGACCATTACTGTACCTTCCCTGCACTCACAAGGGTCTACTGTACTGCATTTATAGAGCATTCATATTCCCTGTTACTTATGTACTATACACGTTAAGACCGCTGGCTGGCGAGACGACTTGCCAGCGTCCAGAAGGTAGAAAGTGGTCGTAGCCATATCAGGGTTCGGGTTCCGGCTTGGCGCACCCCGTCGTGTTGTCAACACCACGAGCGTGCGTGTGGAGGACCGACGACGGCAACCCGCTTGCGCTGCGATGCGGGAAGGTTGCTAGAGTGTGTACAGGTTGGCACCCATCGGACCGAGAGGCTATGGACATTAAAGATCGACCGCGAGGCACATGTGATTGGTCGCCAGTAGTATCATGTATCCATATCCGTGCGTCACGTGGAAGATTAGTTGGAGCGTTTTGCGGCTGTTGCGCGGTCATTTTTAAACGTAGCCTTCGGTGCGCACTCGGGCATGGCGTCGCCTTCGTACCTCGGAGACTTGCCTGCGAACGACCACGTCGCGGTCCTCGATACACCGACGTCGGCGCCGCCGCAGGTACGCGTCGCGCACCACGACGGAGATGAAGTTGACACTGTAGCGGAAGCGGAAATGGCTCGTCTTTGGTGTGCTCGGCCTCGTGGTTGTCGGTGGTGCGATTGCAACGACCTTTGCTGTGCTCTACTCCAAGTCGCCGTCGGCATCTCCACCGGCGACGGCCTCGGACGCTGCGATCGGCGGCGGCGCGACGAACGACACGACATTACCGAGTGTCGACGGTGAGGACTTGCGCAAGACACCAGCGGTGACCACCGTCGACGTCAACCCCAAGAGCGACCCGGAGAAGGCGACCATGGCCTTTACGATGCTCGCGATTGGCGACTGGGGCAGCACGACGGGCAAGGTCAGCGGCTCCAACGAAAACGCCGGCAGCTGCTGCGTCTTGTACAGCGACCGCGTCAACCCGAGCGAAGACCGGTTCAAAGTGGACTTTTGGTCCCAAAAGCACGTGGCCATGCTGCTCGGCAAGTCGGCGAACGAGCTCAAGCCCGTTCGGATTCTCGGGCATGGTGACAACATGTACTGGAACGGCGTCGGCTCCAAGGACGTGACGTACCGGTTCACCGAGACCTTTGAAAACGTCTACAACCAGCCGTCGCTGAAAGGTGTCAAGTGGCTCAACGTCGCGGGCAACCACGACATTGGCGGCTCGAGCTTTGTCTGCGGCGACAAGGACAACGAGTTTCGCGAGTGCACGAGCACGGCCGAGCTCTTGGCGTCGCTCGACGAGCGCTTCTCGCTGCAGCAAAAATACGTGAGCCCCGACCAGCAACGGTACTAGTCCCTGCTTCTCAATCTCAGACACTCTCAGCATGCGTGGACTAGGTGGGTTCTCAAGGATCACTACTACGTCGAGTCGTTCGAGAAGGACGGCGTCTCGGTCGACATCTTCAACATTGACACCAACCACGCCGACAGCCACGGCGCGCGCCAAGTGTGCTGCCAGTGCTTTGGCTACTCGATGAAGCTCAAGCTGCCGAGCAAGACGTGCGACAGCGTGCTGCCTGGCGACGCGCGCTGCGCGGGCGGCAACGCCGACATGTACAAGGCGTGCATGGACAAGATCGAGGCGTGGGCGCAGGACTCGTACACGCAGGCGGCGCGCGACCTCAAGGCCTCGACCGCCACCTTCAAGATCATCAACACGCACTACTCGCCGCACTACCACATGGGCGAGCCCAAGATGAAGGCGTGGTACAAGCTCTGCAAGGACTATGGCGTCAACGCGTGGTTCAACGGCCACACGCACGGCTTCAACCACGACATTGCAAACTGGGGCACGCACTTTTTTGAAAACGGCGGCGGCGGCGGCATCTACACCAAGTCGGCCAACGGCGCGACGACCGACTACGTCAAGAGGTATGCCCACCCTATGATTGTCCTCGATGACCCTTCTTTCTCGACTAGTCAATGGATGGCCGGTGGCTTCCCGTACGGCTTTATGGAGCTCAGCTTCTCGGCCGACTGGCTCAAGGTCCAGTTTGCAACGTTTGACCAAGCGTGGCAGTTTGGCGGTAACGCACTCGAAAGCACGACGCAAGGCGGTGTCCGGCGCGGCCACTGCTGGTTCGTTCCGCACGCCAAGGCGGCGGCGCTCGGTGCGATCGGCGTTGAATGCAAGTCCTCGGTCAACGGCGCGATCGGTGCACCGCTCACCTAGCACTAAGACGACGTTATCGTATTTTATGCTTGGTTGCTTGGTCTTGCGACAGGCGCGTCCGCTCTTTTCATCCCCGGAGCGTCGCGCGCGACTGCGATACTTACGCTGTTACACCGTGTGCTCGTCGAAAGCCAGCGCACCCGTGGGGTTCCCAGGACCTTCCCAGCGACGTTCCCCATCGCCGTGGTCTGAGGGGCTGCTCACACGCGCGTCGAAGTAGAGACATAGACAATGCTTCTTGACGTCCCACTGTCAAGAGCGTCTGCGTCGCGGCGTGGCGACCGCTGCACGGAAACGGCAAAGTGGACGATCAAGATAGACTTGATACTTTCGAGTATATTGAGACATACTTGGTAACTGCCAGAAAGGCCAGACCGGCGTCCATACAAACGTCAAGAGATGACGATCTTGACGACCTGCGCATTACGCTGGGAGAGATAGCAGCAGGACAGAAGCGGCTGATTCGTGGACGCCATCGCCTCGGAACATTTTCATTTTCCCATTTCGACCCGACGCCGCGGTCGACCTACACTTGAAGCATGACCATGTCCCCAGACGACTACCTCCAAGAGCCCACGGCGGTGCTCGACAGCAGCAAGCCTGCGTCGTCGGCTGGCCGGGTACGCCTGCATACGACTCGTATCTTTAGCTTGGCCACCTTGTCTGATGCGCCAACCTCGTGTAGAAGAAGAAGATCATGATGGCCGTCGGCGGTGTCGTTGTCCTCGCCGTCGCTGCGACCGTGATTGCCGTTGTCGCCACCAAGAAGAGCGACGCGTCGACATCGACGAGCGGCGACAAGGCGACGCCCAAGTCGACGCCGGTCGCAACGTCTGGCGACACGTCCATCGACACGTCCTTGGTCATGCCCAAGAACGAGACGGTCGACATGAAAAAGTTCAACCCGACGACCGACCCGGAATCGATGACGCCGGCGCTCACGATGCTGGCCATTGGCGATTGGGGCAGCTCGCCCGGCAAGGTCAGCGGCTCGGACGAGAACCCGGGCAGCTGCTGCATCGTATACGGCAAGAAGACCAACCCGAGCGAAAACCGGTACAAGGTCGACTTTTGGTCGCAGAACCACGTGGCGGCCATGATGGCCATGTCGGCCAAGGAGCTCAAGCCCGTGCGCGTCATTGGCCACGGCGATAACTTTTACTGGGACGGTCTCGGCGGTTCCGACAAGGCGTCGCGCTTTGCTAACACGTTCGAAGGTGTCTACAATGACCCGGCGCTGAAAGGCGTCAAGTGGGTCAACGTCCTCGGCAACCACGACATCGGTGGCGCCGCGTACCTCTGCGGCGCCGAGACGGCCGAGTTCATCAAGTGCAAGAGTGCTGACGAGCTCGTCAAGAACCTCAAGCTCCGCGCACAGTACCAGATGGAGTACAAGTCGCCGGACAACGACCGGTGGCTGCTCAAGGACTTTTACTACGTCGAGTCGGCGACGGCTGGTGGCGTGACCGTCGACATCTTCAACATTGACACCAACTACGCCGACAACCACGGCGCCATGCAGGTGTGCTGCCAGTGCTTTGGCTACGGCAACGACATTCCCGACTTTCCGCACTCCAAGTGCGAAGACGCGCAGCCTGGCCGACCCGAGTGCGCAGGTGGCGACGTCGGCATGTACAACGCGTGCATGGACACGATCAACGGCTGGGGCAAGGACTCGCTCACGCAGCTTGACCGCGACCTCAAGGCGTCCAAGGCCAACTTCAAGATCATCAACACGCACTACTCGCCGCAGCACCACATGAGCCCGGACAAGCAAAAGGTCATCTTCCACATCGCCAAGGACAACAACGTGCAGCTCTTCATGAACGGCCACACACACGCCTTCTCGCACGACACGACTGCGTGGGGCACGCATTTCATTGAGAACGGCGGCGGCGGCGGCATCTACACCAAGTCGGGTAACGCGCTCTCGAACGACTACGTCAAGAACGTCTGGGTCGCGGGTGGCAACCCGTACGGCTTTTTTGAGCTGAGCTTCTCCAAGGACTGGCTCAAAACGCAGTTCGTCACGTTCGACAAGAGCTGGAGCTTTGCCGGCAACAGTCTCGAAGGCACCAAGAAGGGCGGCATTGCGCGCGGTCATTGCTGGTACATTCCCAGCGCCGAGTACACGGCCAAGGGCGCACCTGGTATCGAGTGCAAGAGCTCGATCAACACGCCGCTCGGTGCACCCCTGGGCTAAGACGACAATCAGTTTTGCGCGACACTATACTATAAACACATTCATGTCGATACACCGATACTTTGATACAAAGCAAAACGGGGTGCAAACGAAGACAGGCACGAGAAATGCCGATGGAACGAATTGACAAAAATTCGATGGAGTTGTTGTCGTCGTGTCGTGTTCTAGCCTTCTACTCGTCTATCCTTCTATCGCACCGAGGAATCTTTTGACTCAAATTGAAAGATCGCCTCCATGTTTCTTCCACGAATGCGCTCAAGACAACGCGTCACGTCCACCTCTGAGTCCTGCGTGAAGCTTGCGGTCGTGACTATACATCTCCCATGGACTCTACCTTCAAAAAAATGTCAACAAAATATGCGACATTTTGTTTTCTTCGACGACAAAAAGTGCATGAGATTTGTTGTTCAATGTGGTGAAAGCTGTGAGTACGCGTGGCTACGCCGGCGGCGGACTCGAGCGAGGCGACATCTGCAACCAGACGCCAAGCTCGGGCTTTCGCACGATCCCACGCGCCTTTGGCTGCAACGGCGGCGCGTCCTCCGAACGCGAGAGCACGCATTTCTGAAGGACAGCGACGAGCATGCAAGTGGCTTCGAGGACGGCGAAGCGCATGCCGACGCAGTTGCGCGGACCGCCCGAGAAGCTCATGAACCGATACGCTCGGTCTTTCGCGCGCACGTCGCCATCCATGTGGTCGGTGAGGTGTCGCTCGGGTTTGAAATCGAGGGCCGAGCAGAAACTCAAAGGCCTCTGCGATCGGATGCGAGCTGTCGCGAAGTGCGTTGACGTTGAAGCCGAAGCCTGTAAGCGCAATCGTGTCGAGCGCCGAGAGCTGCAGTACGCGGTAGACGTCGGCGCTCGACGCAGCGAGAAGCACGCTCGCCGCCTCGGCCGCGACCTTGGCCATGGCCGGAACCATCGCGGCGAGGTACTCCCAATGGAATGCTCGCGCCAAGATGCGGCGATGCACTTTCCACTCGTCGTGCATCAGCACCGGCAACGAGTTGTACCCGAGGTGCTCGCGAATGTGCTTTTCGATGAGCGGCATGGGCTTGCGGTAGCTGGACGAACACACGACAGCCCGGACGGCTCAGCCTTGGTGACAGCGACCACGCGCATGCTTATGAGTCGGAATGAGACCATGCCATCGGAGCTGGCCGCGTCAACAAAGACCCGGGCACTTGCCTCGAGCTTGCCCATGTGCTTGGCGACGCCAAGCAACGGCGCGTGGAGGTTCTGCGGGAAGGCGAGACCCGGTACGAACGGCTCGTTGCGGCAGTACCGGTGGTAGAGGTACGCGACTGCTAGCGCAACGCCCACGGAGGCTGTCGTGACGAGGTCGGGCATCGCGTTGCGATTGTGGTCAGGCGCTCGAAAGTTCGAAGGGGCTCCTGCGCGGGGATTGGCCGACAATGGACGAATCAGAGCGCGCCAATCCGGATTCCAGAAGCGGATACGCCATGTATCAGCCAATCACAGCGAGCGAAAGCGTATCCAGCAATCCCATGCAAACACGTCCTCCACAGCACGACCTTGCCAGCTCGATACTAAACGACCCGTTGGCAGCGATAGCTGTGGTAACTATCTCGCCATATACTATCCTGGCTAGTGAGTCTGGTTAGACCTGAAGAGCCCGGCAACGAATACTGTAGCGCGAAGCAGCATTCGCACATGTGCTCGCCATGATTCTCGCCAAGTAGGCAGTTGACGCCGTTCACTGCATAGCACTCGGGCTGCGAGCTCTGGGCGGCGAAGCGTACCATCATGAAGCCTTCCCACGTACCAAGGAAGCGCCAAGGAGCTTCGATGGTGCCGGGCGGCGGTGTCGGCAGCACCGTTGCATTGAGTTTTAGGGCCACTCGTACAAGGTGACGTCGGAGGCGACGCTGGTACTAGTACCGAGCAGCAGCAAGAGGAGAGCGCCTACCAGTGGCAGTAGAGAGTTCATGGATGTAAAAAATGCAATAGAGCTCGTGCGTAAGGAAGTGGGCGAGGGATGCACCGCCTTTTTGGACGGCCGAAACCCATGCCGCCACGTTATCCGGATGATTGGCGATTGGTGGTCAGTTCACATCCATACTAATAAGCACGGGAATACGTCCCTTGATAAGTCAATTAGACAACAACAACAGTCATAGTACGAGACAACAACATCAGTCATAGTACGCGATAGGATAGCACCGTCATGGCCAGCCATGGCGACGGTGCCGCGATGTTCGCGTCGAGCTCATTTCAGACCCGAGGTGGCAGAGACACTGCCGTACTCAACCACACGCGAGCTCTTGTGCCACCAAGAGTGAGTCGCATCGAATACAAAAAAGAATTCGTCATTAAAGATTTACGAGATCGGGGCGCCGATTGCACCGTTGATCGAGCTCTTGCACTCGATACCAGGCGCGCCCTTGGCCGTGTACGTCGAGCTTGGGATGAACCAGCAGTGGCCACGCTGGAGCCCACCGCGCTTGGTGCCCTCGAGGTTGTTGCCGGCAAACGACCACGTCTTGTCAAATGTGACCCACTGCGCCTTGAGCCAGTCCTTGGAGAAGCTCAGCTCAAAAAAGCCATACGGGTAGCCAGCGCCGGCCCAGACGTTCTTGACGAAATCGTTCGAGAGCGCGTTGGCCGAGCTCGTGTAGATGCCGCCGCCGCCGCCGTTCTCAATAAAATGCGTGCCCCACGAGCGACGTGTCGTGCGAGAAGGCGTGCGTGTGGCCGTTCATAAAGAGCTGGACGTTCGTGTCCTTTGTG